CTTTAAAAAGAGCAAGAGAGAGCAGATTTGGGTGAATGCTCATGGGGGGAATGTTGAGAGGGAATGCTGCTCTGTTTGAAAAGTGCTCTGAGATAACGTCTGTTATGATTTGGTGCTACATAAATTAACCTGACAACAGAAAGACAGAGGTAATCAACCTTATTCGGGAATTCTTTGATGTAGTTAAGTGTGATTATGGTTTATCAGTGAAGTCTCTGCTAACAGTGATGACTACAGTTTAACCTGTAGCAGGTGATTCATTGACATTTCCAGGATGGGTTGAACACATGCTCAGCAAACCCATTTCTTCACTGCTCTATTTAGTATGTAATAATTATATATGGTAATTATTAAATACAGTGCTTTCTCTCATCAACTTCAACTGTAGCCCTGAAGTTGGTTGTGTGCAAATGTAAAGACTGGACTGATCAAACTGTGGATGCATCAGGAAGACTGCAGTCATCGTGTGATCCTGTGAATTACTTTCACACACCATCCCATTATTCTGTAAACTCTAACTAGATGACAGCCAATCAGTCACAAAAACATTTTTAACATCAAAAATCTGACGCTGTTTTTCTGAAAACCACAACAATATGAACTTGACAGAAAACAACAGCTGCTTGGTGAATTGGTTGTGTTCTGCTGACTTACCAAGAAGAGCTTCAAACAGGTTGCTTTTGAAAATCCCCATCACTCTCTGAATGGCAGTTTTGAGCTGCTGCTCTTCCAGCTTCCTCAGTTTAGTGCAGTACTCCTCTAAAAGCCCCAAGGCTCGAGCTGTGTCTGCAGAGGAGGGGCAGATAAAAGCATCTGTGGAGTTTCATTGGTTTGTTCATATAATATATACATTCTTCATACATCAATCTGACAATGTTCAGTGTGATGTGACAGTATTATGTGTGTATAAAGGCTAGTGTATAAAGGTTGGTTTGCTGTATAGTTGTACTCACACCACACTGCAAAGAGAATAGACCCTGCTCACAATTTATCAGAAAGGGACAAAGGATGGCATACAATATATGGCCAAAAGAATGTGGACACCCCAGCACTCCAGCCATATGTGATAGATGAACAGGTTTTCCTGGCTGCAGGAATTTGCTCCCATCCAGCCACAAGATCATAAGTAAGGTTCAATATTGATGTTGGGGGTCAGGTCTGGGTTGCAATCGGGGTTCAAGTTCATCCCAGAGGTGTTGGATGGGTTGAGGTCAGGGCTCTTTGCAGGCCAGTCAAGTTCTGCCACACCAAATGAGAGAGCAACTTCTTTATGGAGCTGTCTTTGAGCATTTTGTTGCCACAAAGTTGGAAGAACACTGTTGTTTGTTGGGAGATGTGTCCATAAACGTTTAGCAGTATATTCTCAGGCCACTAGAACCCAAAAGATTGGACAACCAAGTTCGAGTTAGACAGTTACAATGTGGTGATATGACACCATCCAGGTCTTTCACATTTAGTATTTAAAGGGTTTGATGAAAGTTGGAGGAGTTCACGCTTAATACCTGTGGCACAGACAATAACTTACCTTTTTTTCTGATAGGCATGGCTGACTCAGTGTAGTGCTTGACCCTCGGTAAGGCTTCCAGCTCAGTCTTCAGTGCATGGTCAAAAAGTTCTTTCTTGGAGGGAAAGAACTTTTACCTGGGAATCTCAAAGTGGAGTCTAAGGACTATCAGGAGGCCTCTGAGGGTGTATCCAGGGGTCTGTGCTCAACAAAGTGAAGGGGGAAAAAAATATGAAATAATGTGATTCCAGGAGTCTCTGTCCCAGATGACAGTACCAACAGTAATCCACAAGAGGCTCAGATGAGGTCCCCTGTTGTCATGTCTGTATGTGCAGTAATTTAAGGGTCCTTGATCTGAAAACTGGATTTGAGAACCCCTGATTTTAACACATTCTGGACGTGAGGTTGTGCATTACTTCAGCCTGGATTCACATCAAAAAAACATCCATTAGCTGAAGAGATGACAGACTACAGAAGTGCCTTGTCATGGCTGATTCAATGCTGGTCCCCAAAGCCTCTAACAGACTGACCGTCAGACGGGTGGACACAGAGCCTGGACGTCCTCACATAGGAAGAGTGTGTAGAAAAGCTCGTTCAGTGTCCCCTGGTGAGGAGGAGCTGTGGAGTCTGAGGGTTGGCGTGGGTTAACACTCTCAGCTTCGTCCTCAGTGACACACAGCCGGTGTGGTGTGACAGTCTTGAGTTGGTCCTCTGTCTTAAGACCTGGTCCACATTGTTTGTCTTGCCTCAGAGTCTACACGTTAAGTTTCTGTTAATTGCCTAAAAACCCAGCCGCAGGATAAACGGTACACTACAACCTTAAGCCAGACGCCGAGTGAATGAGGAGTTTACAAAGAAATGTCACTTGTCTCCGCATTTTCATTGTACAGCGATTACGGAAATACCAGCTAACACGTAATAGTCATTTAAGAGTTTATGTCTGGAAGTTGAGACTTACGGAGGGACGTGCGTGTCCCACCACCCCACCCCCCTCCCCATGAGGTGGGCAAAGACATTTCATGAAATTAAAACAAAGGCCTTAGACACTGCCTGATAATGACAATGTTGCTTCTACGCAAAAATGCAAACATGAGTGTTGTCCACTAGTTAGCTAGCACCCATGCAAAATCACCAGCCAGCTGTGGTGCCTAATGAAATAATGCGTTTCCAGTGCGACGCCTGGCTGTAGGAAAATACCTGCCTGCCAACTGTAGGAGAAAACGCATGGCTCTCAAGCGACTCCATGAATTGTCATATTCCGTAAAATGGAGATTGTGCATGCAGAGGGAATTGCTCCTGACAAAACTCTGCACTGTCCTTGAGCTGCCACATCTCTTTACTGTTTAACAAGGTACTGTACCGTAGCGTTAGCCATATGAACTGACAGCATCACCAACAGTTTTAAGCGTGAGGAACAAGTCAGCGACAATGAGCAATGGTACTTCCGTTTATAGCTTTCAAAATAACACATACTATTTAACAATATATTATGTGTTAGCTGTCAAACGGAATTACAGCTCAAGCGAAACGACTGTTTACATTTTTATATTTATATGCTGAGTAATATGTAAAGAAGAGACACAGTGTGAGTTAAATTGCAGCATTAAAATGTTTAAATTAGCAGTCTGAGAATTTTTAAACATAAAAATAATCCTACACGCAGGCGATCCTGGTTATTGTATTGTTTTTGAAAGCTAAGAGGAACCATATTATAATTTGCAAGGTGTAAAACTTACAGCAAGAGCAACATATCTTTAACATTATACATTATTAAACATTAAACACAAGTCAGTCAAAAGTCACACAGTGGCTCACGTGGAATACAATTTTTAATAGCGGTGAAATGTTTCAGGATGCTGACTTCCACTTCCCACTCCATACATAAAAGCGCAAACGTATCCAGATATGCCTCATTACGCACGGTTATAGCTACAAGGAAACCAACATTTGTATCACCTCTAACTAATAGAAATCACGGGTGTGCGACAACACTGATACAACAAGCATCACATCATTATTATTGGAAAAAACTATTATTATTATTATTATTATTATTATAAAGGTTGAAATCTCATACAATACAAATACACATACTGTACATAAAATGTATATACATTTAGTTATTATCTATGGGTTTATTGAGGTAGGATTTTCATATTTCACTGAGACATCTCAGTATAGAATAAAGAGAAAGACCGATGTTGTGTGTTTAGATGTGTCAGAACTTCTGACACATCTAAACACCCCAACAGCACATCAAATTGCTTTTTTCCCCCCAAAGAAGCCATCTTCATACTTTTATTTTGATGGCACAGTGGCCTGACTTTAGAGCGAAATGCGGTACACTTGACGCAACTGTTTAACTTACCTTAGCAACGATGAGGCAGGAAGCTGGTTAGCTGCCTTCCATCTCGATTGACAGGACGCGAAAACCAATAGTACAACGGGATTTCTTGTCGCATCAGGGCGGATAAACCAATCAGACAGCTGTAGACCTGTGCGAAGGTGAGAGGTGAAGTATGGCTGCACTGAATGCACTAGGAAATATGAAAATTCTTCTGACTTCCATAATTTGGGATTGAAAAAGAATTATTATTATTTTTATTATTATTATTATTATTATTATTATTATTATTATTATTATTACATAAAGGTTGAATCTCAAATACACATACTGCACAAAATATAAATTTAGTTATCATCTATGGCTTTATTGAGGTAGGATTTTCATATTTTACTGAGATGTTTCAGTATGGAATAGGCTAGATCAATGTTTTTTTGTTAAGTCTCAGCCTTGTGTGGTTGTAACTGGTTGTAGGTCTTGGGAATATCTATCTCAGTTGTTGATATTTGGCTCAACAGCAGATCTGACTGTCAAGAGAGATGGTACATCTAATCTGTATCTGTTGCTGGAGAGTACTCTAATTTGAAGGGAGTGAATATAACAGCAACACACAATATCATTTTGAGCTACCCTTAGATTCTACATTTATTGTGCTTCCTGCCTGGCTTCAGAGGCTTAAAAAAGCCTTTTCAGCTGGCCATTGCAGCTTCAAAATCTGTGTTAAGAATTTGTGTGCCACTATTGCTTCTTGATGAATAATGCTCATAATTTGCAGTTACTGCCAAAGAGAATCACAGATGAACATGTCCAGGTTTGTGATAGAGGAGGATGGCTGTAAAAGCAGCAGGTAGTGTCGGCTTGTTTAAATAATTAAAATTTCATACCAGAGTTTGTTGTAGTGAGGAGCTGGTTTGATAGTGTAGCTGTAAAACACACATGTTGTGAAAACTACTAAAAATTATATAAGAAATAAGATTATTGCTGTTTCAGAGGTGAATATTTATGATGACTATTGTCTGGTATAATTAACTCAACTGTATTATATTTCCAAGTGTTGACTTTTCAAAGATGAAGGAACATCTCAAGTGAATTCATTTTACCATCAAATAACAAGTTGCATTAATATTCTGTTTATTGAAAATAAGTGCTTGATGCAGTAATCAGAACGGGATTATAATAACTGCTCAGATCAAATATTCAGATTAAAACGATTATGTTTTATAAGTTAGACTGTATCCTCTGCCACATTAGATTGTGCATTAATGTATCATACAATGATCATCAGTTATACAGATACATACAAGTTGCTCATTAAGGTATAGTGTGTATGTACATCCAGCCAGATGTATATGCAGTGTGCTCCTATAACATTTCCATTCATTTAGCAACACATTTTATTCAGTCTCACATTGACATGCTTTTTGCTAACATCAACATTCTCAGAGGTAAAACATCCTCCACCCATTCACCTTCAGACTGTAACATCCTCTGCCATAAATTTGCCTCATCTGTCGTTGAATCCATCCAAACCACGTCCATCCCATAACTCTTTCCTGCATAGAAGGCACAGAAAAGATTTTCTTCATATGAAGCTAATAATGGAAACTCATGTTTCAAGGATTGATGCTTCTGTATGTAAGGGAGAAACAAAGACCCCATTTACAATTAAAATATATAGACAAAAAGTAAAACATAATATAACATAGATGTAAACAACCCTCACTGTGAAGGGAGCGTGAGTGGCTGTTCCTGTTCCTAGACCATCTCCAGAAATTTCTTCACTAATGTGTAAACAAAAGCGTAAATGTAATAATATGTAAAGTTTGTTCATTATCTGGGCAGTATATCCATCCACAGTTCTAGACATGATCACTGTCTGAGACTAAACATTTCTACAGCTGGTTACTGACTTCAGAAGAAATATCACTTCTATCTTCTCTGAGTTTTGTTAAAGGACAGGAAGTGGAACTCCAGACAGCTGTCTGTACATTGGTGTTTATACTGAGGAGAAATTAAGTTGAACACTGAGATAACATGCAACAAAGGGCAACAAAGGCTGTATTTTCTATATTTAAATGTTTCTAATGTTATCAGAAAGTTCATGGTGTTATTTTACGGACACATCATAGATTTGTTGGTTTGGTAATCAACATTGTTTGTAGTAAAAGCTAAATCCTTCTCTCTAGTCAAAGGTTTATAAAAAAAATAGCTGTAACATGATCAAGCTTTGATTTGTTCTACATGTAATAAGGCATCTTAATTCTAATACGCCATAAACTGCCTATTGGTTCCCTGCACAGCTTAGCACTTTCCATTATCCCTTTTCTTGCATGTCTTTATGACATGGACCTTTTATTGCATTCTATACCGTAGCACTTGTCCTGTTGTGTTTTTATTGTGTTTATGTTTTTGTGCTGCAAAGATAATCTTCTCTTGAGGGAGAGTAAAGATCTGAACTGATCTGATCTGATCTTTACTGCATGTAATGAAATTCAGATTGCACTTTAATCCCACTTGGAAATTCCCAGGTTGAAACTCAAATATCAAAACCATCCAGACTGTAGGTGTAACTGTGTTGGAAAAAGTAACAGTGGAGTTGAATTTCACCTGTCCCTAGTCCAAGCCTCAGGCCTCCTATGTAGTGGCTGCTCAGTCGTTCGTGATCCCACACTGTGATCTCCACACAGGCTTCTCTGAGGTCTTCTGTTCGGAAGCCATCATACACCATGGTGTGGTTGAACATTGGGTTGGCTGTTCTCTTCACCACCCTGGTCTTCTGATGGCTTTTCCAGCTTGTGTCAGGAAGTACGGTGCTGTAGCAGAAGAAAAGGAAGGACTTTAAATGTACTCATTTATTTATTTAATTTTGAACACTTTGACTGTTGCCATTGGCAGTACATTTTACCATTTCACAAATGGGTTGATTATTTCTCCTCTGACTGAAGGGAGATTCTTGCAGTCTTTCACCCAAATCTGCACCTCACCAGTCGCCATCCTAGATGTTCTCTTACCTGTGGATGCAGTCAGATCACAATAAGTGATGATAATAATTAAAAGGAAAGGGAATAATTGATAGAAGCTGAGGAATTATCAGCTCACTGTTGGTTGTCTGTGGCAGAAATCTCAGGGCAACTTTCATTAATCCTCTGCCATCCATCAGATGTGAGGAAGACAGAGCTGAGGTTTGTGCTGACACCTGAAGAATTGAGCTGGGGTGAGTGAATTTCTATTAAAATAACTTTGGCAATACTCAGAGGATGCCTAAGGAAATCAAGCCTTTACCCTGGTTTTTAATGTGTATTCATTTATCTGTGTGTTGCTGAAGTCCCACTCTGACAAGTCCAGTTCCACCTCTCCCAGGAAGCTGTTCTGTCCAAAAGTGTCGTTGTGCCACACAGAGATGTTTAAATTCTGAGTTTTCAACACCTCCATTATTACTTTGAACTATGGAAGAAGAAGAAGAAGAAGAAGAAGAAGAAGAAGAAGAAGAAGAAGAAGAAGAAGAAGAAGAAGAAGGCAACAAACACTTTGTAAAAAAGTATTCGACATAAGAGAAATGTGTAAAAGACCAAACATGGAATTCTTACCCGGAGGATTTCATTGTAGGTGGGGTTTAAAGTTTTCTTTTTTACAGTGGTTTTCCTCTTTCCCAACTTTGTTTTGTCAGGGAGAAGATAACATTTCACATAGCTGTAAAAAGACAGTAGTCACTTTCCCATTCTAAACTAAAAAAGAGAATCATTATAATTGCTGACAGGAAATTTATGACACTGTTATGACAAATGTTATACATGTTTCATCCTCTTTTCTGGCCAGCCAGTGCTTTTCCTCCAACCTTTATGTCACATATTCACCGGATGATATAACATTTCCTCTACCTTTACCACTGTGATCATATGGTGAACTTACGGGTCAGAGCGGTTCTTCTTGGTGTCGGCAATGGCCAGCTCCCTGCAGTGCACCACAAAGATGTGAAATTCTCTAAGCTTCTGGATGTAGTTCACAGCAAACTGGATGTTTCCCTGAATTTCAATGTCACCAAAGTCTGCATGGTGAAGGCTGCTGATGCTGCCGCTGGCCTGCTCGATCATAACATGACACAGGAGAGAAAACATCATCCTCTCTGGTTATTTTATGGCAGCTATCAACAACTACAGTGACAATATCAAATGTTACCACACCTTTATATACTACAACTCCATTGTACCAAATTACTGACCTGAAGATCACTCTAACTGGAGCATGAACATGAAGCATTTTCTTTTTAATTAAAGGATAATTGCTCTGTGTGTTTTTATCAGAAATGTGTTATCTAGTTAAGTGCACATACAAACAACATGGAGGCCATTCCTGAGGAGAGACTTATGTTAGACGTGGAGCTGCCTGTGTTTCTCCTCCAGCCCAAGTTAGTCTCAAAAGTGCTGTCACTGTCTGTCTGATAAAATGAGACAAAACCAGAAAAGCATGAATGACACTGGTGAGAAAAAATCACTCAGAATCAGTGATGAGAGAAAAAAAATCATTTAGTTCTTACGTTATCAGTAAAGTTTTAAATATATCAGTTCACTAAATTGTAGATGCTGGATACTAGATATACTTTTGTTTTGAGTTCAGTCAGTCAGGAGAGATTTACCTCGTCCTGCTGTAGAACAGGCACCGACACACTGCTTTTTATTGGCTCTGAGTTGAAGAGAGTGGAGGCTGATGGTGGAAGAGGAGAAACTGGAAGAAAGACATGACCTTGAATCTCTTACAATGAACATACATTATCATGAGTATTGAATTTCAAAAGGATGCTAATTAAATTTTTTAAGGGATTAAGTTTGATGCTGAACTCAACACTCAATGTTTCTTCTAGACTGGTAAGTAAACAGCTGTTAATAGGCCTACTAATTTTAGTTATGTAGCAATAGCAAAACTTACAAACAGCTCCTTTAAATCATTGCCCAGCCTGTGCATGTACTGATACTATAAATGTTTATATAAAGAGAGGATTATGTTTACCATCATCCACACATAAATTAATTTGTTTCTTGAGTTATTTTGGTCCTAACTTCTTAATACGAAATTAGTTATACATCACTGTCATATACAATTATATCCTGTAACATGATTTTGTTTTGTTTTATTTTGTGGAAATCATGTACTTGGACAATACAATAAAATGTCATAACCATCAACTGTATTAAGCACCACAGGTGCAGAGTCTAAAAAAGAAAAAGTTGTGTTACTTGATTGTGAGGTGAGGTTTTCCAGACTTTTGAATGAAGATATACTCCTCGAAGATAATCGTTTCAGAGCTGACATGACGGGACTAGAACAATCATCATAACCTGCCACAGATGAAATACGATCAGCTCTGGAAAACAGACTCAACACAGATGATTTACTAAGCAACCATATAAAATAACAATGCTTCTGTTTCAGTGAGTAGAAAACAAGTGGAACAAGTGCTGGTTTATTTAAGTATATAAGTATATATATAAATATAATGATTAGCAAATCAATTTAAGATGTAAAAAGGATTCAGTCACCACAGCAAATAACAGGACTCGTGCTGTTGGTAACACCAATTTGAATCTTTGTAGTGGTGATTAGCTGCTTATTACAAACCACATATTTACTGCATCAGCAGCTCTTTAATTACAAGCAAAACTACATTTAACTAAATTGTTTTCTACTGTTTAGAATGGTTAAAGGAAGTAAAAATTTAATTAATAATTAAATAACACAAATAAATATTTGTTTTACAGTTTTGTAAAGATACAGAAGAGGAAAGAGGAAAGAAAGAGGAAATACAAAAGAAAAATTTAGGTCAAACAGCAGATTGAACAAACATGTGAGAATTTTGAAAATGAGGAATCTGTCAGGGCAAGTATACTAACTGTTAGTCAAGTCAGACTCACTGTAATGTTAATGCATTAACTGGGGTTTCCATTTCTCAATCAATAGCTTGAAGAAATATAAGTGAATAGAGAATTAAAAGGCTCACTGCCTGGACTTGCCCGAGACAGGGACCAGGCCCTGGTTGTGTCTTGGCTCGAGTTTCCTTCTTTCTTTTGCACAATCCAAGAACTGGTTCTAGTAGGATTCCCCTCAGTGGGACTGTAACTATGGTTTCCTACAAGGTTGCTGACGGCACTTTGTGGTTTGTGTGCCGCATCACTCTCCTCAGCAATACCTTTGTCTTGGTGAAAAGGTGGGACATGGGCCTTCTCCTGTGGCCCAAGGTAGTGCTGAAAATCCTGATTGATGAAAGATCTGGCAAGGCGTGTAAAGGATCCCAGTTTTTTTTCTGAAGATTTTTTGTATTGTTTTGAACTAGAGGAGCTTGAATTACTTTGTTGTGTATTTAAATTAACAAAGTAAGCCCCTCTGTCCTCTGGATGTAAAGGTAGAGGACTTGAGGTGATGTCTGTGCAAGGTTTAGTATCTGTCACCACTGTTTGCTTTGCTCCATGTGAGGGACTCGGCTTCCCTTGTTGCTCTTCAACAACCTTTGTTTGAGGTTCAATGTCTATTGGAAAGGTTTTCAAGGGGGAACCCTCCAGTCTGGATCTCTCAGGACTGGAGGACTCTCTGGGTAGGACTCTTGGGTGGTAGGTCTTGGATGGACTCCTCCTGACTTCATCCTCCTGGTCTTTTGATTTTGGTGTTTGGGATTTACTAGGACTGAGGGGCCTTTCTTGAGACTCTATATCAGCCTTGGAAGAGTATTGGTGACATGGTATTGACTGTGCATCCCCTGTACTATCAGGACTCCTCAGCTGTGACCCATCTGGACTCTCACTGAAAAAACCCTTGTCTGTCAATTTCAATGATTTCAAGACTTCACTGGACTTGGTTTTGTGTTGAGAAGTTTGTGCCTCTTCTTCATACGTCTCTCTCTTATACAAGGATGTGGTTGGATCAGACTGTGGGGTAACCACTTTGTTAGTGGGTACTGAGCTGCTTGAGGCTTCCCTAACTCTTGCAGCGATTACCCTGGGTCCTGTATACTCTGACTCCCAGAAATGCTTAAGGTCACTGATCTTGGCTGGCCTGTCCTTTTGAGGACTGGAACGAGGCTGTCTGGGAGGAGAAACTGGAGCACCAACCTGCTGCTTTGGAGTGATGCTGTTTTCCCCTGACTCTGTTACTGAACCTGTTAAAGAGTCATCTGTCTCCTCATAGATGAGGACTGGATTAGCTCTATAAGTGCCATCTTCTTTTGATAAATGTACAGAGAGCCTACATCCAGTCTGTGGTGACAAAATCTTTTCTTGGGACCTGCCAGCAGTATCCTCACCTGTCATTTCCTTTTGAACTGACAGATTTTTTATGCTCTCGACATTTGTTTGAGAATTCCTGTGCTCTCCCAGTTCCTTCCCATCCTGCCACTCCTCTCCACTGTGACTGACCATGGTGCTGAACCTCACCTGCTTCTTGTCTATCCAGGTCTCAGTGGGAGAATCCAGATTAACTGGATTCTGCAGGTCCAGATGAGCGAACAGAGAGTCAGTGGAGCTAGAAGTAGAGAAGTGCTTGAGGATGCCCTGTGGAGCAGCAGGGTGAGTCTCTCTACCCCCTGGTCCATCTACTTCAACAAAACAGTCCTGAGAACTGGTGTTGACTGCTTTGTTTTCAGGCATTGGCATGGGAACAGATGCATTATGGGCGATCAGGCTATTAGGGTCTTGTCTAAGGTTACTAGCATAACAAATGGAGCTGTCGGATGATGGTAAAGGCTCTGAAAAAACAAAAAAAATGAACACCATTTCAGTCAAAAACACTCTGCTTTTTGTCATAGAGATAATTGGTGGTGTGTTTATTTCAAACAGAAAGTTTAACCAATGGTGTCCTTCAGCAACTGCACTAGTTACCCATTAAACACTCTTGCCGAAGGATTTTCATTTCCTATATTACTTTTGATTCCAGTCTTCATTAGTGGTGGACTTTAGTCTTGTCATGTTTCAGACATCTATGAGTTGTTAGCAGTAAGTTCAACCAAAAACCTTTCCCTCCTAAACCTCTGACATGGTTTCATTTCAATAATTGATTTCTAATTTCCTCCCTTAAAAGGAACCAGTACAGTAAAATACCTACCTGTATATATTGTACTTAAAACTAACTGAAGCACCTACAACTGTTAAATCCTGCTGAGCCATTGTTTCCTTCTTATTATATAGTTTCAACATAAAAACATTGTTTCCACAGCTCATGTGAAATATTTCCAGCAGCTACAAGTCATGCAGTACAGATTAAGGCTTTGGAATGTATTTCTGTGTAATCCCCTGGCTAGTCTGGCAGGCTCATGTATCTGGACTTCCCTTCACTTTGACAACCCCTGGGAAAATCTGTGGTCACAGATCACTGGCTCATGTCATGTCTTTCATGTGATTTTCCCTGTACCACTGTGTGAAAACAAGTTGGAAGAAACTCAGAATATAAAACTGTTAGAAATGACAAACCAGTAATGCCTTTAACTGCCATGCAACCACTGCTCATGCTAACATGCTGTTCACACCAAAGGTTGAAGCAGCTGAAGAGTAAAGGACCCACACACCTGGATGTCAAAAAGATCACTAGACCAGGACTTACATTGGTTTGTAATGTTACACCGTTCATGATTTGGCCATCGAGCAGCCACTCAATACAAAACATAACACATGATATATCATTACATCACAATGGAAAAAGTAATCAGGATGCATATTTAAAATAGTGCAAGCTGATGTTGAAGTCAAAAACTCACCCTCATTTGGTGTCTGGGTTTGATCCACTGCTCTATCCAGTAACTGTCTGTCCTCGAGCTTGATATTGAAAGGATTCTTTCTCTTCTTCAACAAAAGAGAAAGATTAGTACAAACAGTACACAACAGTACTGAGTTCACCCATGGTCAGTATCACTAAAATGTTAAATGTTTCAAAACTGTGTCATCTTACGAAGATTTTTTTACATTTTTTAGGCACAAGTGTAGGGTCTTTATCTTATGTGTACTTAAAAACATGTTATATATATTACCAAGTACAACCTTAATGCAACAAAAGTAAGTTTACCTTTGATCACTGCAACAAATTTGATTATAGGCTATGTATGATTTTCAATTAATGCTTATGAACAAGGTTCAAAACTGCAAATTAAACTTTGCCAATGAATATGAAAAGACTGGTGGAGGTTCTTTGTTCAGATGAAACCAAAATGAATTTGTTTGGATCAGATGGGGTCCAGCAGGTTTGCTGTGGATCAGCCAGGAGGCTACCACAGTGACTGCACAGTGCTGACAGTGAAAGTGTGAGGAGTTGGCTGATATGGGGCTGCATGAGTGAGGACATATAAAATATAAAAAATAAATAATAGAATGGAATCTAAGAACTACTGACATTTTTTTCAGTTGGTTCTTTAATATGGCCCTTTCATTATAGTTTAATTAGTCAAAAGATGTAGTGATATTGTAGTGATATTGACCAGGATTATACTCAGTTTTGTGATATATAACACCTAGTACACAGAGAAGTTTCTCCAGACAGGATCCTACCTTTGTGGGTGACTGCAAAACTGGTTTAGGTGTGTCTTGTGGTGTGTCATCGGGGTTCTGTTTCTGATACCTATTGAAATAAACAGAGATTAACATTATGTGTTGAAAATTTCTGAATTTAGGATATGCAGCTTGAAATTTTCCAGATCTTTCAAAAAAATTTGGTTTGGAAAATCTGTGTGCTCATCAAAGTACATTACACTCCCTTCTACAACAGACATGGTTTGGTCAGTGGTCAATGGCATAACGATATCAGTACCTAAACAATGCCTGCTCTCTTGTTCTTGTCACTGCAAGTGGATGTGTAAGCAGCAACAAAAATGATTATCTCACATGTTACGTGACAAATAATTAAAGTTGCTGTTAAGAACAAGCAGGTTAGCCCTCACAGGCAGAGCAGAACATGTTTATTATATTTACAACTGTGATCAACGGTCAGCGAAAACATGAACATGTGAGACCTGATCTTATAAGAAGATTATTGAGAACTATGGAGCAAATTAGTAAGTATCCATTTACTGTGTGCACAACTCCAATCAGTTTCAGTCACGCCCAGATAATCCACTCTACTTCCACTCTACTACTACAGCATGTGATGCTGCTGAAAACATACAACACACATGTTGTGTTAATGCTACATGGAGTTACTGTTTTATAAATGTGTCTGGGGTTTGAGATTTTGGAAGTTTATCTCAGGGATTAATTAAAGATGCAGTAGTCAAGATTTTTCTCTAAGTATGCACTAGTTTGACTTGAGCCAAAATGGATTTTTAGCATTTGAAGTGTATATAGTGTAACAGTGCCACAACAAAAGGCACCATATGACAACTATACACTGTATAAAATCTCCTTTCGATTTTAAATCAATCTGTTATTCCACCCTTCAGTTTAAAGGATGAGCCTGTCATATTCTATATGTCTCTTATTCTCAACAAATGTCATGTGCAGAGCCAAACCAACAATAAACTCATCCAGGCAAGTGAAGTATTGTGTGTGCATCCCAAGCCCAAAATATCTGTGACACAGAGCTTCATCAGAGCCACAATTGTCTATAAATCTGCTGTTGATAGTCCACTACAAAATGAAACTATTTATGAGATTTATGCATTTTCCATCCATTCATCTATGCATTATCTTCTGCTTATTCAGGGCTGGGTCGCAGTAGCAACAGGCTAAGCAGGACATCCCTCTCTCCAGCAACGCTTTCCAGGCGTTTCCAGGCAAGATGGGATGTGATTTATGCTTTTTTTTCCCATGGGATTTGTTGACACTAAGAAAAATACAGAACACCTGCCTTATGTTTAATTTAATGTGTGATCGTTAAAACATCCTGTCTTTTCTGTACATTCGTATGTTCTAGTTGCATCCAAACTTCCTATGTAAGCTCTGTCAAAAAATTCCTTTAAAAAGTGAGTAAACCAGCATTAACCTGCAGCTGGAACAAGCTGTAACTAGAACACTACCAAACAGTTGCTTTTTTACACATTCAGAAAACACAGTGCAACATCAAAGGAGCTATTCGTAAATTATCTCTGCCATCAAATGTGGTATCTTGCCAGAAGCAGGTGGTGGTGCTTTTTCCTTGACAAGAGCTTCAGCCAGCGTTGGATTTACAAGACAAGAGGTCTGAGCGGCACTACATCTTCAGGGCAGATTGGAGGCTACAGTGAATTGCTATCGGAGAGTGATGAGATGGTCCGTGACTATCTGTTGTCGTTGCTTTTCAGTGCTGGAGACAGCTCTGGGCGAGTAAAGGAATAAAGTTTGATGAAGAACTTTCAACATTTCTTCTAGATTGGTAAGTAAACAGCTGTTAATGCTAACACTGGCCATGTAGCAATGGCAAAACTTACAAATAGCTCCTTTAACATTCAGTCTGAGTTGACTTTCTGGTCACCAGATGAATGTGAGCCATTTTCGTGATGGTTTTGGTCTCATTCAGAGCAAAACATCTGTCTCTTTAGCTGCTAAATGCTAACCGTGTCTCTCTGCTGTTCTGCTGTAGCAGAGCTTTTATACTGCTACTGCAACAGCTGCCTGCTGAGGAGAGAGGTTACAGTGAAGCACAACAATAATTTCTGAGTTCATACATGCAGCACCTTTAACATACAGTCCATTTAGTCATTTGATCCATTTTAAAAATATTCATTAATTAAATATTTTTAGATAGATCAACCAATTGCATAATCCTTAATAGTATAAGACCTAGCGAAGCCTGACTTAAGCAGAAGCTGTGGTTTGGGGGGAAAATTTAAATTTCGACACTCAAAATGTATGTATGTAAATTAAATGTGATAAATGGAAGATTTCTGCTTTGGTTCTCAGTACTCACCTTTCATTGCTGAGCTGCAGGTGAGGCTCCTGAAGAAGTCCACAGAGAACAGGTGGGACAAACACTTCCTTATTTTCACTGCTGACAAAACTGGACTTCTCAGGGAGGATCTGCGAGAGCTCCACTGCAGCACACAACAAACAGCAACTGTTAAAGAAAGTTAGTCATTCATTTTAACACACCATTTATTTTCATTACCACACAGGCGCACAATTACACATCTACAACCTGCTAACATGAAAGTTTCAGAGACACATAAATACACTGAGCTCAACAAATGCATCATCTAATCCTCTGTTTCAGTTTGTTCCAGCTATAGGGGCAGAAACAGGTTTTTGCCTGTGTGAGGACTCGCAAATCCATCGGAAGGAAATAAGATTCTTCACTTTATCCTCACATCAATGAAGTATATTTTGAACTTATGTCGGAAATAGATGCCTGTTCACTGCTCTGTTACTGTTATAGTTTATGGCACACCAAACAGAGGAAATACATGCAATTTAATTTATTAAATCTACTATAATGCTTATTTTCTCAAATTGTGTGTGCATGTGCTGAACCCCTGTAGAGTCTGAATTCACTCATGTGTATTGATTTAACAAGTCTGTGACCTCTCTCTCCTCTTTGCTCCGACTTTTTTGTCTAGAAAGTCCTGTGTTTATCTTGAGGATTATGATGGCCACATGAGATGCAGTGACTTGAAAAGAAAGAGATTTCAAAAATGGATTTTAAAAAAGCTGCATAGGCTACATGTAGTGTGCCCAGGGCCACCTGTGAGTAGCAGAATTTAACTGTGAGCTTCCAGGGATGAGCCACAGCATCACTGTGGTTTTATTTTACCATACCTGGATACTCAAGGGTCCATTCACTTGATCCAAATAGCAGGAGAGACAAACAAACACTGGTGTCAGATCCACACTACAGTCTCACACAGTCGTATAAATGTGGGAAGTTTTTAATATATTCTATTCTAATGGCTAAATAAAACTGTGCACCAACTTTAGGAGGCTCTAATGTTCATCAAACACCAGAAAATCAAACTGCTGGACAGATGAAAACTGACAACTTTGGTATTCTAAGGTTATTCTGACCTGAGATTACTATCTGAATAAAAAAGGTTCATACTCTGTGTTTCTAGAGCATAATGACAAAGAAATGGTTTCAGGTTTTGTCTTTTTATGCAATTCTGTTAATGGACGGAAAGATTTTTCTCACTTCGAGAACTTTTATTTTCAGGCATCACAGTCATTTCACAATGTTCACAAGAGAGGGAAGCAATGCTGGTTGCAACACACTCACATATAGTTAGTGGTTTATGTGTGTGTCTCATGGAGGCCCTGATGATGTCAGAGCCATGGATGCGATCCTGATGGCGAAGCTGTTTGGTCTCATAGAACCATTCTCCAGTCAGGTACCTCAGCTGGCCCCTGTCACTAACAGTCTTCTGTAGGTTCCTGGTTGCAGACATGTAAGTGGGAAATGTAAAGTCACTATAAAAAGGTTTGCTATGCTGCAAGCTACACTTTGGAACTTCTAGGTAGCAGATAAATGTACTTTCTCGAGTTCTATAACATTCAAAGCACGCATATATTCTTTACACAATCTTGTCTGTAACAGGCCAAACTAAAAGTGTGAGGGATTAGTTAGTGCTTCTCTGCAGAGTTGTTAAACATGGAACAACTCACTGGACACGTTGCTCCTCAGCCTTCTTCAGCTCAGCATCCCTTTTCAACACAGCCAGGATGGTCTCCTGCTCCTCCTCTGTCAGAAAACTCAGGTCAATCATGTTGACTGCTGCTGTGTCCTCAGCTGACGCTTTCCACTGCTTTGAGTTTGTCTCTAGCAGCTGAATATGATCACCACCTCATATGGTTCTTCATGAAGCTCCCGAAGGCCTGGTTCTGTTCCTCCAAGTCAAATCAACTCAGCCTCAGCAGTTCACACAATTTTGAGACAGTTCAGTCCTTATTTACCACTCTGGAGCTTTGCTGGTTTTGGATATGTTTTGCTTCAGCTGGTGTTGTTTCCTGTTGCCATGTTTGAATCTTCTTTGACCAGATTGAGCCTGAAAGAAAGCAGCACAAACTAAGGGGGAATAGTTCTACTATTTGATATTCGCAGAAAAAGTCTATTTTGCTTTTAGGTTCAACAGAGGAAATTAATGGATCCACTAAAAGCAATCAACAGCATATCAATCAGCAACAATTTAATAATAAAGTTGTTAAATAATTTTTAAGGAAGAATGATAAAAGACCACTCCTCAAGTTTCTCCAGTGTTTCCTGGGAAAGTCTTCTGTTTGGACAAAATGAAAAAACTCAATTTTGCACAGTTCTCTGACTTTCTATCCAGTAGATGTTTACTGAAAAAATAATCAGCAGATTGCTCAGTAATGAAAATAATCATTAGTTGCATCCCTGGGTGGTAGCATGTTAACAAGCCTCAGTGCCTTGTAAAAAAAAAAACTTAATCCCAGGCCAACATTTTTAGATGATAATTTAAATTCAGTTTCAAATAAATCACCTAAAACTCTTTGTAATCATTCTTTCTATGTGAGAAGTACACAATAAAAACATGTATAGGTGCATCCTGTAAAGAGCAACATGTCTGATCTTCAAGCCTGATAAAACATGAATGCTCCTTTGCCTTGACATGCTACACTCACACACTGCTGACTAACCTCACTAAAAACACTCCTTCCCTCTGACTACCTCTGTCTTTCATTCCTTTGTCAGCCACAGAAGAAGGAGTAACAATGTGGAAACACATCAGCCGAAGTGAGTGTGGGAACTGTGCTCACATCAGCAGTGAAACAGCGATATATGTATTTCTTTTAAATGAGATTACAACTAAAGGTTCTTTTTTTTTATCAAAGCACAGCTTTTGCTTTTCCTTTAAGAGAAGAAAAAATCTCCATGAGGAATGCCTGCAAGTTCTAACAATGTCCATGTCCACCCACATCAAAGTCGATTTTCTCTTGACTGGTTTAACGTTTGCCATTTATTAAAGTGACTACACTTATCTTTGCTAAAAGAAGTGTCATTCAATATGGTAGCTATGTTATTATGACTTTGTTTTAGAAAGAGTTGTGGTTGCACTGCAGTTGGCTCCCATTGTTTATTCATGATAAAAGTTAAGGAAGTTGTAATTGAGTCTTAATCTCGAATACAAGACTGCATTAAAACTGAATCCTGAGTAAAAACAGGATACTTTACTTCCTTACAATGAAGAATGTTGCACATCCAGTTTTTCTGCGAGGGCTAAATTTTAGTTTTTAGTTTTATTTCCTTGTTGTGATACCTGTGACTTATTTCCTCATCATAGTCAGATTTCCTTAAGACTTAACAAGCTATATGACTCTGATTACACATACACTCTCATATTAATGTGAGAGACAAAACACCAAACATCATGTTTCTGCAACAACAGTCCAGTACGGCCATATAATGCTGGCTGGATTACATGGATTTGAATTTCACAATCAGCTCTTAGCTGTTAAGCAACCAAATCAACCATATAGAGGAAGTTTTAACTTAAGTAAACTGTATATTATACATTTTTGCAATCTGCTCTGGCACCAGCTGACAAAACTTTCAGTTGCTCTTTAAGCCTCATTTCTCATTTGGATCAGAAAATAATGGTGTCTCCCTTTGCTTTAATTTTCACCAAGAGTTCTGATAAACTGCTCTGACGCTCCACTTCTTAATCTTAACAGTATAACAACAACATTAATACAACATACAGAGGAAAGCATCTCATCTACAGAAAAGACAATATTATCTGAGTGTAAAGTCAGAAGGCAGTCGGCTCACCTCTCGTCGTTGCTCCTTGCTGACTACCAATTGAACCAACAGGATGATGAGCTGCTGCAGGAGGGAGGAGCTGCACACAGACTTACTGACCTGTCTGCTCTGCAGTTACGTTCACGGGTTTTAAGACTCACATCAACCTTCCACACCGGAAAACAATCCTGTAAGGTAGAATATATATTGTCCATAATCCTGTCACATTTAGACATTTTAATTCATTGTTCTACACTGCTGTAATTTTACCTTTTCTGTAAAGGCTTGTGGGCTGAGCAGTACCTGCTCTGTGAATATTTGAACAGCATTTTACCTTCATCTTTATTATTAGATATTCCATGATAGAAACCGTGATAAAACATAAAGAAATGGTTATCATCAATCAATCAATACACAAATAGTTTAATTGCTAAATACTATTATAAATAGATTAATGGAAGCTGGGATTAATTAACAAATAAATCATTAAATGTACACTTGATAAATAAATAAAAACATGATGGTAATTAACCAGGGAATAATACATGCCTTTACCTTATTTCCACCTTTCTACAAATGTACCTATATTTTTGTACTTCTACATTCATTTATCTATTTCTGTTTCTTTGTTAATAAGGTCAGTGTTCCTCAGCTCACTGTAATGCATCAGTTGTCATTCTTTATACTGATGCATCTCTCTCACACACGCACGCACACACACACACACACGCACGCACGCACACACGCGCACACACGCACACACGCGCACGCGCGCGCGCACACACACACACACACACACACACGTACTGAATCTGCTGAACCTGAGCCTGCACTGCACACTGATAAAGAGGATGCAGTTTTTAGAAGTTGTCATGATTTACTTCATTTTGACTTGCCTCTGCACAGTGCAACAAAACGGGCAAGAACATACATAGCCTACCACCTGCAGCACACAGAGTAAAACCACCAGTCACTCTCCTCCATCAGCTTCAGCTTTTGACCACAAGGTGGAGGAAGAGCTCTATTTACTTTTCAGGTTGCAAATGGTTCAAACTGGTTTGGAGTTGACCCCCCTCTAACTTGTGTGCACTTGGTCAAATCTCTTGATTAAAGCCAGAACAGTTCATTTAGTCTGAGGCGGCATCATCATTCAGCCCTCAGACACAGACTGTGTTCGTTTTTTATTACAGACACCAAATCAAACCCTCCTCCACCTATAGGAATGATTGTCCATATTGTTTCCACAGTGGCTCACAGTGACAGGAATGGGTTAGGGGGGACACCACAGACCATCTGGAAGGGGCTGGTCCAAACTGAGGTTGCAACTCAGGAACTTCAGGTGCTGCCTGGCAGAAGGAGAAGGAAGAACTCACAGCATAACAATTCACTTTCTGCTCAACAAGTTTAGACATTTGCATCACAACCTCAAAAATGGAAATTTCTTACTTTGATTTGACTTTTTATTTTTTTTTATTTTACAAGCATGTTATTGACAATCAGACTGTCAAAAACCTTTTGGAGCATCTGCTTTATTTTATTGAAATCAAAAATTTAAAAACATGATTTTGTATTGTAAATAACCTTTTAGCTTCTCTGAGAATCCTAATCCAGAGGAAAAGTTTTTTTTAAATCAGTGACTGATGAACTGTTTCCCCTGCAACTTATCTTTGGAAGATAAGGAATAGTCAAATACGGTTAACTATGTGGAGTCCACTGTGAAAAGGAAGGCTTCAGTTCAACAGTAAAGCCTTTATTAACTTGCCAATTAATTATATCATGAAAGTCAGTGTCTCACACAAACACACACATGCATCTTTCTACTGCTGAATCCAAATGAAGGGGAAGTGGCAGCAGAACAAAGAATCGTCTTATTTCTCATGGAGAGGCTTTGCCAAGCAGGATGAACCTTTTATATCAAGGTCCCTCTGTGTGTGTGTGTGTGTGTTGCACATGGATGAGCTGCTGCACCTGTGGGTTCCTCGAGCCTCCAGAATGATGAAGTGTGGGACTCTGGCTTCTCCAAGAGCCAAGGAATCCTCAGCACTTGGATCACCCATCAGTCAGTTTCCACAAATTCAGCTCTAGCACTGTTTAACTAAACGTTGCCATTAAACTCAAGAAATGTTCCACATAAAAGGTCCATTTGTCCATCATGTAGTCTCTACTAATTAACTATGAAAACATTCACATAATGTAACATACATATGAATATATGTGTGAACATATATCAATACATGTACTTAAGCAACAGGTCAAATAAAAAGGTACAGTATAAATTGTTTTTTATAATCCGCAGTACAGCAGCACACACGTAATCTTAATTCTATTAATGACTCATTAAGAACTTTAACTGTTTTTAAAGGCAGTCTTTTTCAGAGATTCTCTAATAAATGATGCATTACTATCCCACTAAATGGCTGTTCTCCACAGAACAGGTTTCCTTATTCCCTCTAGGTTGAAGAGCGACCTGATCCCGAGTCACTTGTCTGTTTTTATAACAGTACTTATTCCCAGTAAAGATAATTCTTGAGAAAAGAAAATTTGGCTATTTTATAGCACACACATTTGTCAGAAGAAGGTTAACTGACTTGACAGCAGTTTCTTCTACATCATCAGCCAAAACAAGACCAGCATGCACTTCCTCAACCTGCAGTGTCTAAACGTCATCTAAACGACAGTTGAGGACCAGAGCAGCTGCTCTACTCTGAACCATCTGAAGCTTCTTTTTTAGCTGCACTGTAACACATCTCAGGGGCATTGTCCAGATGTACCAAAGCACTGTACAAATCTGCTTTAATGTGTTTGTTGATAGTGTTTTACAGTAATAACAGAATAAAGCTCTGCTCATTTTAGATAGAGTTTTTCTGATAATGACGAGCACAGGGACATTTTCTCATCAACAGTGGGAGTTTAGTTTCTGTAACTGTTATGTCCCTTACTTGGAGCTAGGGGTGACAGAAACTGTAACGTGACAAATCAAGAATTAAAACTGAGTCAATGAGTACTTGAAGGTAGTTTATTGCAACGTGAAGGTCTCAACAAGGAAGTCCAATGCGGGGGAGGAAGGGACAAAGGTGGTGTGCCAAAGAAATGAACCCAATAAAACAAAATGAGGCCTCAGCTATCTTCATCTACTGAAACAAAAACACACAAAAGAAAACCTATCTACCTTATCTAAGACAAGAGCCTCCAAAACAATACAGCGGGAGGCACCCACCACTAACCTAATGTTTCTAGACAAAGGAAAACTGCGTGTTGAGATGTACAGGGTACCCCAAGTTACCTAACTCCTTCCTCCCACCACATACCTTCAGTACATCCCTTAAATCTATAAACACAACTGGCACGCTGATCACTATCAGGCAAAAGGAAAGAGAGAGATCTCCTCACTCAGGCTCCCCTTTTATAGGAGGACTCGAGGCAGGTGATTGGTCACTGGGGCAGCCAGGAGCTCAATAAGCCATCCTCCCCTAGTCTGCTCAGGTGGAGCCCAATCACCAATCAGCACCTGGAGGGAAACCAAGTGAGGGAGAGACAGAGAGAGAGAGGGAGAAAACAAAACAAACAGCCTGCCCTTGCCTGGCACATAACAGTAACCTACAGTATAGAATTTCTCAGATTACTCAAATACAATTCATGCTTTTTTGTTTGTGTTTTGATAGTAATTTGCTCTGGATGAACCAGTCATAAACAAAATTATGTTCTCTTTCAAGGCTTATGTATACATTTGTAAAATAATTTGATGCCAAATATATTGATTAGTCTGCATATAAGGCCATACTTAATTTTGCTGTTACAAGAGGTAGGTCATTAATAAATATTAAATATAATAGCAGCCCAAAACAACTTCCCTGTGGTATTCCAGCGCTTAGAAAAACTACCATTAATTTTTCATTTGATGAGATGAATGACTTCTACCTAATCAGTTAGTCATAGTCAATTACACCAAATGCTGCACTAAAATCTAGTAAGTCAGCTCTCACAATCATTCTCTTGTCAATATGGCTCAACCACTCAACAGTCATTTGTGTTAAGGTTGTACAGGTAAAATGCCCTTTCCTAAATGCATGTTGGAATTCAAATTAAGACTCAGTTCACCAAGGCCAAAAAGACAAAAACTTATATTTTCAGACACATAAGTTTAATAATCCTGTCTCAACAAAGATCAGATGCTCTTGACATTTAGTTATTTTAATATCTACATTCCTGCTTACATAAAGTGGCTTCAGAGAGTCTTCAGACCCTTTCATTATTTCAGCACTTTGTGTTTTATATTTAATTTTTAATGAGTACAATGGCAATTTTTGCACATCAGTCTTCACTCAATAATTCAAAATGACAAAGTGAAAACATCTTTTTAGACTGAAATCTTATTTACAAAAGTATTGTACTGTAGCTCCGAACTGTGTTCAGATGCTTCCTGTTTGCTTCAATTATCCTTTAAAAGTGTCTAGAACTTGACTATAATTCACCTGTGACAAACTGAATGACCGGATATAGTTTAGAAAGGCCCACATCTGTGAATATATAGTAAGATCCAACAATTCACACTGCATGTCAGGACAAAAACCAAACCATGAAGTCCGTGGAACTCTCTGTAGACCTTCACTATAAAATTGTGGCAAAGCACAGATCAGGGCAGGGGTATAACACCATTTCTAAAACTTGTATTCCTAGGAGCATAGTGGCCTCTATAATTGTGAAATGGGAGAAGTTTGGAACAACCAGGACCATTCCTAGAGTTGGCTGTCTGGTCAAAATGAGTAACCGGGCAAGAAAGGCCTTGGTCAAGGAGGAGACAAAGAACCCAACAGCCACTCTACCAGAGCTTCAGCAGTCCTCTGCAGAGATGGGAGAACCTGTCAGGAGTACAACCATCTCAGCACACAAGAATCAAATGAGGTCTTTATGGTAGAGCAGTTACACAGAAGCGGCTTTGAGTACAAAGCATAGGACAGCCTTCTGGAGTTTGTCAAACAGCATTTAAAGGAAAAAGATTATCTGGTCTGATGAGACAAAAACTGAGCCCTTTGTGCTGAACACCAGACACTGATCATCACCTGGCTAACACCATCACTACGGTGAGGCATAGAGGTGATTGGAGTTATGAGTGTGCTCGTCAGGGTCAGGGAGACTGGTCTGAATTGGGGGAAGCATGAATACAGCCAAATACAGAAGAGGTCCTTGATGAAAACCTGCACACAACCTGAGACTGGGGCGATGGCTTACCTTTCACTACAACAATAACCCTGTTCCCCATAGAACATCTGTGGAGGGACCTGAAGATAGTAGTCCAGACACTTACCATGCAATCTGACAGAGCTTGAGAGGATCTGCCAGGAAGAATGGGATAAATTGCTCAAATCCAGGTGTGCTTACCTGACTTACCCAAGAAGGAATCAATTAAAGGTTTTTAATACATTTGAAAACATGTCTTAACTTCACCACCACTAGAGCCCTTGGCATCCTATCCTATCAATCGGTCAAAAAAACATTCTTTTCTATAGATTAATAAATACGGAGCCAAACGCGCGTGTGGAAGCTAGCACTTTATTGAACAAAAAAAAAAAAAAAAAAAAAAAAAAAAAAAAAAAAAAAAAAAAATCAAACAAAAACATAGTCTGCAGGGACAATGCAACAAATATGCAGTTAATGGATTAAGGGCCACTTTCATGTCCAGGCCATCTTTCATACCTACACCCGCCCAGTCCTGTGATTGGCAGGATCAGTTCTATATACACACAAAGCACCGATCAACAGTGCTCTACTCTACTGCACTGACCTCACCCCAACCCTACCCCCTGTAACCTGACTTGAACATACACTTGATGCCTCCATGCCCCACATGGTCCTAAACACCCCAGTGCTCGCCTATAGAAACATGACCTAAGCATGAAAAGGACCCTGGACATTCAGGTTGGTAAAGGGCAGCAATGAGCTTTGTTAAATGTAAGAATAAATTGTGCCAAAAGTATAAATGGCGATTCCTTTCTAATGCAATGCTGCCTCAATCATAAAGTGTAGTGATTTGCTCAGGTGAAAAATGTTTCCTCGCCAAATTCATAGACATCGACCCCACAGATTTGCAGATTTGACGGTATTAATGAATTATTACATTGATACACATTCTCAGTGTGGGCCCTCGAGCCACAGATAACTGTACGAGGCATCATGCGAGTACAGAGAATATTTAGTGCCACAGCAGCAAAACATGTCATCTCTTTAAACTTTATATTAACTTCTTTAAAAAAAAAAAAAAAAAAAATCATCTCAATCACTCAAAATCCAATTCTACAATCAATCAAACCTATGTGTATACCTGAAGACCTTCCGCATGAAGGAAATCAGTGACTAGTAACATTTGCATTTTGCTTAATAATGTCATCCTCTCTATAGGTAATCATAAATAAATACAAACAATACACAAGGAATGTCTACTCCAAACAGTACAGAAAGATGAAAGAAAACAAAAATGCGTGGTATAAACAATAGTTTGCAATTGTTTTCCTAATTGGAGGATGCTTTAAGAAGGTAATTCTGATTGATAATTGAAAGAAGTGACTCTCCCAGCCTCACCTGGAGAACGAAGAACGAAAACAAAAAAGACACTCAAACAGTGTCTTTGTATGGCAACAACCCAACTTTGTTTTTTTGTCTCCATGTACATAAATAGTGATGTTAAAAGCTCTCCCTTTGGGTGTTGTGTTTCTCTTAGTCCAGGATGCAGTGGGGGCTGACCCTTGTCCACATGATTTGAATGGCAACACGCACTCTTCTTCTCCTTCTAAAACTCAGACATGACTAGATGGGCACAATGTTCTCTCAGATGGCCAAAGCCGCTCCAAGTAATTTTATTGAAAGTCTTATTTGGGCCTTTTATTCTCAGTTAATTAGAAGCAAACTGCAGGTTTGCTCCAATAGTTGATGTTGTTATGAATCTTATTCAGATGGGAAAGACTCCCCCCTCCTCAGGTTACATGAACTGCATCTGTGAATATAAAAACAACAGTGTTAACTCCGTTTTGGAACATGGAAAGCAGTTGCAGATCCAGTAATAACAGAGCAGTAGCCAGACTTCTAATGCCACCCCAATTTCTGTATGTAGAAACATACATCAGCACAAATCCTACAGCAAGGCAAAAATAAAGATGGTGCATAAAGCTTTTTATTGCAAAATAAGAGCTGAAGTCCTATTGACAGCAGACTTGTACCACTGGTCATCTCAATTTGTCTGTGGTCTCATCTGATGAATTTGATCAACACATGCACTTTTGATTTGTTTAAGGTAATTAACCACACCTTCTGGCTTTGTCCTATTGCAGTGTTTTACTTTGACTAGGTGTGTTACAACTACTTATCTTGTATATGTACTGGACATGTCAAAATGTGAAGTGTAATTTTCAAACCCTCACATCTCAGCTTGAACTAGTCCTGAGCAAAAAGAGCTTCAGTCTCCTGCAGAGCAAATAAACTTTGACTAAATCAATCCTCATACAACGGGAGACAACACATGTATACAGACTGTGCAAAGCAGCGAGCGGCGGAGTCAAGTGTGGTGACATCTCACAGCAAAGTGTTGTGACTAGATCCAAAATCAGCCTTTTAAAGGTTCTATATGTAACATTCAGAAAACCTGTGTTATCAATAACACCAGTGGCCATTAAGTGAACTGCAGTCAGCATCCTGTCGCTTGTGCTCACACACATGCCTGCACTCAGTGACATGATGGTCAGACTGGGAAAGAAATTCAGCCCTGTATGGTGTTTGGATAATGCCAATTTAAGAATCACCAGGAAAACAAGAAAGAGCAGTCTATCCTCCCGTTACAGCCGGATCATGTGGAGTTTTGAATGGTATTAACTGGGACGGCTGATATGAGATCGGCGGTGAAGTAACATGGGTGCAGGGAAGGAACGTCTACTGATGGCGGTGTCACATCCCGGACTCTCGTGCGCACCCAGAAAGACACACAGAGAGGGCCGTTGAAGCCCGTGACAGGGATGGTAAAAACTTTATCACACCGGGATTTGTCCCGATGGTCCCAATAGCCAGTCTGACTACACAAGACTGAACATTATTGACAGGCAACATGTTGATAGATGAGGTAACTGAAGTTACAATGTTACTATATAATACAAACTATATTTAAAACCACACATGAGAAAGTATGCAAGACTAGTTTTATGTTTTTTTGAAATAGGATTTATAAAGCATAATATCGTTATCAGCTGATGTTGACACTCCAGACGTGCTTTACTAGATTCAACTTTTTTTGTTTGTTATGCTTTTGTGGAGTTTGTGTTGGAGTTTGTTGTGGTGTGAACTGGTCATTTATTGACATTAGCGGACTCAGTTTCTAACCTAACCTTAGCTAGTGTTGCACAGTGTAGGTGCTGTAGATGAGGAGTTGAGGCAAGGCACTCGGAAATTTTGCCCGAGTCCTTTACATAGAAATCAATCCAGAGCTGTTATAGGTAACAGAGGTCTCATTATTGAAGTTACACTACAGTCTCTTCACACTTTGACCATAAAAAAGCAATTAAACCATCTAAATTACTTTCCTTTCTTACATATAGTACCTTTAACAGCCAGTTCTGCTCAAACAAGATTTAATTGAACATGCAGTTTGTTGACACTGGAGTTACAAGTAAGCACACACAGAAGATGAGCTGTACCTAAAGATGTTCTATAAAAAATTCTGCAGAGAGAGTTGAGCAAAGGGGTCCTTCCCTGGTGCTCTGAGGGGGCTGAGACGGGAGGGACTAGAAGTTGTGGGTGACTGAGTCACAGAGGAGGACGGAGGAGGAATGAAAGCAGAACAGGAGAGAAATGGAGACCCAATGATAAGACAGGAACTCCAGAGGAAAAGCTATGCTAAAGGTGTCTGATCAGGAAAATTAAGCTCATGCATTATCATATTTCACACACATATAATGCAGACAATTCTGTAAATGGATGTTAAAACAGAATTACAGACCTCATATTAGATCATGAGAGACACTGACTGAGAGGCGGAAGCATATAAAGAAATACACTAACGCCCATGTTATCCAAAAACATTTTTCATTTCTTTAGTTAGAGTGACCAATAGGTCACATGCATCATGTGTGTCATGATTCATTCACCTAGTCTCTCTCCATCACACTTTGTTGCATACATCAATTTTTTCACCTCAACCAAGAGTAAATACCTTGTTTTTTCCAATTCCAGGCTTCCACTCAAATTTTTTATGCTGAAAAACGTTGAAAATACATATAAATAGGTGGATGGAAACATTTAGAAATTGATTCGGAGGTTTGCATGGAACCAAAGTAACAACAGGAGTGATTATACTGTGAAATCTGCATACCTAGATGGGAAAAATGTATTAATTAATTCATTCATTCATTCATCAAAAGTTGGCTTGTGAATGTTGTTTAGCAGCCAGACTCAGATTTAAGAACTTTGAAACTCACAAATAAACTCTCCTGTGGGGAGCACAAGTCCCATCTCATAAAAAATTACCAGCACACTTGGATTTCCTCTGAGAAATTACACCAAACTTCCTAAAACCCTGGTACGAATCTAGGAAAGAACAAGTGGATCCCAGAGCTAAGGCAACTGAACACAAATGTCAACATGATTCTCACAGGGTGGGTCACCGAGCTCAGCTGTGGAAGGAGAGGGACAGTGCATGTAGACATGTCACTTACCTGTGCACCTGGATTGGAGCCGAAGGGGTTGGCTGGCCTCATTACCGGCTGGGTGTACATCATAGTGGGCTGTGTCATCATCATGGAGCCCATGTGGGGAGGCTGATGGTAAAGAAAACACAGCAGACAATGTGTGAACTATTGTGCCTGAAAAAAACAAACAAACAAACAAAACAAAATAAAGACACATCCCCAACTAAGGTTCAGGGGTTAGTTACTACCTTGCATGGATATGTGAAAATGATGAGACAATAAGAAGAATCTCTTGTCCTCCTCACTTGCTTGCACGGTCTGTGTGTGTGTGTGTGTGTGTGTGTGTGTGTGTGTGTGTGTGTGTGTGTGTGTGTGTGTGTGTGTGTGTGTGTGTGTGTGTATTCTTTTTATGTGGACAAATTTCTGTTCTAAACCATGATGACAATTCAGCCAGTCTTCCCAACTTCAAAGGGCTGTTTGATGGTTCAGACTTGGTTTTAGGGTCCAGGTTAAGCTGGGTTTAGGTATTTAGTCGTGAAGGTTAAGGTTGAGGTAAGGGGGGTAGGGGAATGCCTTAAGTCACTGAGTATCCTCGCAATGATAGAGAGCCCAACATGCGAGTGTGTGTGTGACAGGAAGTGATAACTTGCTGGGTATACAGTCCCAGCTGACTTACCATTGCATATGCCATCATGCCTGTCGGTGTGGTTGCAGGGAAGGCCATGACAGACGGTGCCTGAGGTGACACAAAAATCAAGTAAATTCCTGCTACAGAATCAGGGCACAGTGACACACAACTCACATCTAGCGGTTTATTATTAGATTATCACATTTTATTTAATTACAATGACCAAAGTGAACCTTTACAAATCTATTCAAGAATACAGAGAACATACCATGATGAAGGAAGAATTCATTCAATACCAATTTTAACTGACTCCTCCTACTCCAAATTTCTACTTTTAAAAGAGCAGTCACATGACAAAGCTGAACTTGTTAGGACTTGTGAAGCTTGCTGATGCTTTTTACTGCTTCATTCCAAACTCTGTGCACCGTCTACCTGCGTAGTTTTGATAGTAAATCGAGACTGCAGCTTAAATGAGAGCATTAGGGAAGATGGATGGCAGATTCTGCAGACTGTGAGAAAATGACAGCAGGATTCAGCCTGTGTGGAGATTTATGAAGAACTTCTGCTGATGTTGTATGCAGATTCGGGGCGGATACAATCTTACAAACTTTTAAAGACATTTTTATCGCAAAAAAGGACAAAGTTTAATACCTGTTTCAAGGTCAAAGATTGACTAAAAAATCTGTGTGGAATATAAGCGAGTTTACAATCAACTACATTAATTTATCGACAATAACAGTTTATCATATTTTGTCAGCCCTTCCCAGCTGTATATAACCATTATTGCTTGTAATAAAAATAACCAATTAATGTAAACTGGAGCCAGATGAATGGATTAAAAATAAAATAATTCACTAATTTAAGTGAATCTAGGTTTTTCCTAAAAAGCCCTTGTCTACTATGAGTCAAGCATCTGAGCTGCTATAGCTTGCAGTAGTGGCCGTGTTTAAAAAAAAAGGATTGAAAAGCTCAGTTCACAGTCAGACCAGTAGTATATAATATCTTCCAACTGCCCACAACAACACTGAAAAAAAAAATTATAAGTAATTTTACTGTATATAGCAGAAATTTAAGATGCTTTATTAACTTCTAAGTCCTCTTTTTGAGACTGCAGATTTCCTGGCTATTTATTATTTGATAAATATCATTCTAAAAGGGTAAAGATATGTTTCATGTTGAGTGTTAACTCCAAAACATCAAAGTGGAAAAAAGGCTGAAGAACAGCATTTATCCACAACACACTGACACTTTCCACAGAAAATGTGTCAAAAGTTACCAAAAGACTGCATTCACACTACACTGCTGATCTTATAACAGCTAGCTCCATTTTTTAAACAGGGCACTGACGGACTGAAGTAAAGGAAAGCAAAAAGCTGAGTGTGTTGTGTCTTGGAGGTAGAAGCTCATTACTGGCAGGTGCAGGGCTCCTTGTGAAAAGAGATTAGAGAGAACAAAAGTGGAGACTCTTTCTCTGAGCAGCCCTTGCTTGTGATAACAGCCCCTGCAGTGATAACAAACCCAGATTTGTCCAACGCCCAGCCCTCTCGGGAAGGATACGTTTCATTAACTATTCAGTCATTGGCTAGGGAGGCACAAGTGAGTCAGATGTGACACTGGTGCCAAAATTTGCGCTTTCATCACAGACTGTGCTTGTTTCACTGCACAGAGAGTGCTCCTTCAGAATTCCTCCTCGCTGACAATGTTTGGTTTGTCTCAGGGACATCTCACTCAGCGGCCCACAGATAGTCAATAACAACATGATTAGGATTGTTTTTGCATCATGTCCCGGATTATCCTTTAATGAGTGATGGCTGTTGTGAGCATCTGCTTCTTAGTGTATCACCAATTTCTTTTGACTCGCTTCAACAGAGATGTGCATTTTCAGCTTGATCACTTGAGCACTGTGACTATAGTAAGAGGTTGGACTGTTGGATAATTGTCAGAAGCTCTTTCTGAACACACAAGACAGAATGCAAACTGAATATTTGTAAAAAAAAAAAAAAAGCATGGTAAAAGAGATTAGAGGGAAGGTAGAACAAAGGTTATCAGTGAGATTCAGATCTATCACTGAATAGCGAGAGTTCATTCATGAGACTTCTCTCACTTTAGGAGAGGCTTTATTCAGACAAACAAATCCAAACTACTTACTGCAGTAACCTGTTCTTTTCACCTCTCTGTCTAATAATTTGCATTATGATACTATAACACAATATGGCAAGACAAGTAAGACACTTATGATCAAAGGAAAATGTGGCATGGTAAGCTATGTCTACACACGATGAGCTCAAGAGAGTTCAAGTGAGACTGGAGTTTCTCATCTGTTTAACATAAATACTGACCATTTATACATACAGCACATACAACACAGCTCTTTTTCCACATTGATCAATAGAAGGTGTCAGGTTGTTACAATACTGACTAAGAACAGTGGAGTGTTTTGTTATATTAGGCAACCACAGCTGGAAAAGTCATTTTCATTCTTCTCCATTTACTATTTATGAGAGAACAATACTTGGCTTGGCATGAAACAGCCTGGGTTTTATCATCAGTGTAATCATCAGTTCACAAAATGCAGAACTGCATTCAGGACCACTGACTTCAGTCAAAACGTACACAACTGTGGTCACAACAACCTCAGTAGATATGTCTCATAACTGAGTCCCAGAGAAGAAAAATCCAATGATCCTGTGAAGAATCCACACAGAGATATGGTTCAGCATTCTGGATGGAGTTTGGATCTCATCAGTAGCTGATTCAGTGGTTTGTTGTTGCAACAATGAATTACGTCTTCTGAGTTTGACTGGCTTCTTCTCTAATAAGTCAAAATAGTGACTTTGAAAACAAACAGCAACCATTTCAGTGCACTAAAGTCAGTTGCTCTACAATCAATCTGCAGTCATGTGAAACAGTAAGGGGATGAGGGAAATGAGCCAAGACTCCAGACCCACTGAAACTGTCCTTTTGAGAAACCATTCAATGGAACATCATAGGCAGACACATGAGGTTGTGGTTATTATGACCCCAGTTACAGAGAGTAAAAGACACTTAGAAACAAAGAAAGCAGTAGTCAACAATTCAGGAAAAACTGGAGAGCATCCAGTAAAAGCATTTACTCCCAAAATCACCCAACACCTTCTACTGGCAAGTCAGCAAGAAGAAGCTGGCAGGGAAAGCTTGACTGGTCATTTCTTGGCAGACAGAAAAGAGACTAGATTTTAAGTAACAAGAACTCGATATTGGTTTAAAGCTGTAATAAAATAATCTCAAACAAACTGGCTGGTACTGAACGGAGCCCTTGGCTGCTGCATGCCATTGCTGCAGTGTTAATGTAGCCCTGACGGTGTGCTGTGGCTGGTAGTGGTGGTGTGGCCTCTGGACAGAGTGGTGCAGCTGAATTTGAAGACGTTAATATCAACAAGTGCAGGCCAGTGTTGGTCAGAGTGCAGGAAAAGGCTTAAAACATACAGTATGTATAGTAGACATAGACTTACGTATTGTGGAAAATGCATGGTGTTCTATAAGTGTGGCCCAGAAGAACAATTACATGTTGTAACAGTCAGACAGACAAAACAATAGCTTGATATATAGACAACAGACAGATCAATAATCTGGAGCAAACAAACATTAATATGTCAACATTCATAAATAGATAAAAATAAAATGCAATATAGGTTTAAGCTCTATCATCAGTTGGATTACTCAAGGTGAGAATTACTAGCCACTGGTTACCTGCCCAAGAACATGTTTTAGACACAGTGAAGAATTGTCCCTGCTGAACATAGTGATGACATCAGCTGATTCTAGTGACTAGTTTCTTCTCTCTTGCTGAATGTAAAGTTTTGGTTGGACTGAAATTAAAGCAGGACTATAAAATCTACAGAATCACTCAGAGAGAAGGTTGGAAGCGATAGAATATCTTTCTTATTTAGTCTCAGCCTCTGTCTGGGTAACAAACTGCTGCTCTGCCTCTGGAGACTTTCTTCTATGGGAAGTAGATTTGTTTAAAAAGTCCTCAGATTTGTTGTTAGGTGCTTTTTTGGGGAGAAAAATTCATTTTTAAAGAGCAGCACTTGGTCGACCAGTGATGTAACTTCTCACTCACGGACATCCGAGGATGTAGCACTGGACTGTCGCTGGTCCAGCCAATAATCACATAAGTTGTTCTACTAAATTAAAATTAATTTTACTAGATAGCAGGGCGGCAGGCCCAAAGGCTGCATCACTGTATTTTATTTTCTCTTGAAAAATAAGCTCAGATGTATTTGCGCTGCATCCTGTAGTTTGTTCTAACACCTGTTGTCTGTCCCACAACTGGACTACACTTACCCACCAGAAAGCTCATGAAAGTGATGATGAAACCTTTTCAATGACGCATATCAACAAGGTTCTGCTTTGCAGCACTAATGTGTTACAAGTTCTTAAAATTTCAAATTATGGGCAGCTCCAGGTTACGGGTCGTTCAGTTCCTACAGGACAAGGCCCTTAAAGTCAGTATGACATTCAAACTGGTGGTAATTTGAGTAATTTGGCTCACTGTCCAAGCTTAACTGAAGCCCCCATATTCTCATGCGACTATGAAAGAGAACCACTGGTCTAAAAGGCAGCAAACAGAAAAATAAATCAACCAGATGGGCACAGAGAGATGATATTCCTACCATGGTCGCAGGGTTCCAGGTGGTGGAGGGAGCCGTCTTGGGCTGCCAGTTGGTCCCACCTGTCAGCTTCTTCTCACCAGGCTGACTCCAGTGAAGATCACTACAGAGATGGAGTTAAACATTAGTCCTGTTTAGTATGCTATACCAGGTACATGAAGTTAAATATTACTGGAGTACACTTACTTCTTTGCTGTGCCATTGCCAATTCCCAGATCTAAAGAGGACAGGAGGAAAGTAATGAATGCACAACCATGAAAACAGCCCACCTAATTTACACAAGACATAAAATGTAGAAAATGCTTTTTTTATTATTATTTTTTTATTTCCACACTAAAATTTAGTAAATTAAACTGTTTCCCTTTACTGTTTGGTACAAATTTCACCTCTTCAAATAATTTACTTATTGTGCAATTTGTTCTATTTATTACACTTTTGGGGTCATCATCACAAAAAAAGAACTTACTGCCGACAAGATTGGCCAGTGAGGAGTCCAGGTCATTGGACACCAATTTGTTGGGCTGTTGGCCGTCTGGGGTCATACCCTGATTGGGTGAGGAGGCTGCTGTGGGTTTGAGGATGCCGCCTAAAACATCTTAATCAAAAGGGGGCCGGACAAAGGGAAAGGAAAGGAGGGGAGGGGAGGGTAAGAGGTTGGGGAGCCCAGGACAATTGAAGACACAATACAACAGACAATACCACAACATACAAAGACAAACAATCGACAATACATAAAATGCACACACATGTACACACACGCACGCACACAGAGAGAGGGTGTTGAGTGTGGATGAGGCAGTAAGCAGGGCTCCCAGAAAAAATACACATCAAGCCAAGACTGTGAGAAGAATGTGTGTTTAGTCAACTCACCCAGTCATGCATATGCCATGAAATAAGCCAAGACCCCCGGGAGTGTGTTTAACCCCAGGACAAGAGAAAAGAGGAAAAAATATATGAGATTGTTAGCAGCCTAAAATCAGTGAGGATGTGTAAGAGATTCAAGCTGCTGAACGTAGCATCTAGAAACATCAATGAATTCTTGTCAAATTAACGATGATATGTTGGCATTAATACACATTAAATACACTAATGAGGCAAAAGATGAAATAGTTGTCAACCTCAGTCACACTCCAGTGGCAATGTTAGTGACACTGTTTTACAAATTTCCGATTAATCACAATTTATGTGATTTTCTTAAAAAAACATTTCAGTATTACACAATGTTAAACACAGTGTATAGGCCAGTGTTTCCAGTGACGGGTTCATTTGTTAGTAATTACACCCATGTATATCTAACCAATCATTTATTTATTTTGATTTTCATATATTTCTCACATTAGAATAGTATCTCTAAAACCTCAAGCAAATTTTTTGTTTATTTTTGTGACTTTTAGAGCCCAGTGGAAGTAACAGTCATCAGTAGACAATAAATTATCAGAATGCGAGTCCCTCGCAGTTGAAATTATTTCTATGGCCACAGAAAACACATGCAACACAGATTAAAAGGCATAATTTTCTGTACCTGTGCATGCTAAAAACGGATGAGACGGCTGAAGTACATGACATGAGGATATAATCAAAGATAAGAAATACTTGATGTGCTGGGTAGGACATTTCAGAAACCTCCCACCTACATCACTGTCTTATGATTGTGCAATGCAGTGAAAATATCTATTGGAGCTTCCACTTGGTTCTAGGGGTGGCAATATGACCGAAACCACACTTCATATGTGTCAATGAGGCCTTAAGCCAATCAGGACAAAGTGCTGTCGTCACAGAGATGGTTTCCTGCTGATGCAGCTGGAGGAGAGCAAACTGCAGCGTCTGACTCAGAAAACTGCAGCCGACTCGCCCCAACCAGGTTTTAATGTCATGTGACATGGTGACATTCCACAGAGTTGGTGAAAGGCACACTAAATTTCTGATGAACGTACACTGATTTAAGTCCAGCATGAATCACACTAAGTCAGCACTGTGTTTAACCTGTGGGTGTGACATCATTCATGAGGTGTTGTGGGAAGTAAATCGCCTTGTGTGTGTGTGTGCTTAAACAGTACTGCAAAATCCATATTGTGGACTTTGGTGAAGATGACCGGTATATTGGTCACCCTACTTTGTTCTGAGTATGTCAGTGAAGGAGGGATGGGCAATCATGACTAATCACTTGATCAGTGAAAACTGCAGTGTAGGGTTACCTTGAAATTTTTGAATCCTTATAATCCATACTTATAGTTCATACAGATCTCATTGAGAGCGAGGGAAGATTTCTTCTACTAAACCATCTTTTCAACAGGATAATTCAAAACAGATTGAAGGAGTGGGCTAGTTATAGTATAGGATAGTAATAAGTATAACCATACAAATGCAAACCCTTTAGCATTTCATGTTCTGGCATTTTCATGTTGGTGATTAATAATACTTCCTTATTTGTTTGTCTATATAACAAAAGCCTAATTAAGAGCCACTGGAACCAAACATCTGGTTACTTCCTTGAAAGATTTTCCTTGTTCAGAATTCCCATTCAGAGTTTACATAAACCACACATACTGACACACAAGCCCACCAGCACTTTGATTTTCCACAGTCAACACGATGGAATTAATCTGTTACCAAAACCTTCAGTGTGCAGCAGGAGAGGATGATGCCTGCTGGAAAACAGGAAGAGAAAATGTCACATGTGTAGAAGTACTTACCTGTAGAATCCAGGTTGTTGGCATTGGTGTTGCCAAATACAGAGTCAAAGTCAACATTAAGGCCTCGAGAGTTCTGTGGCTGCTGTGGTGTTGTGGAGGCTGTGAACCCTGGTGAGGCCAAAAGAAACCTAACAGTCAGGATTCAGATACTGATACTACAACTCCTCTGTTCCTCCCAAGACAACCACAGCGTAGAAAAAACACACACAATACTTGGAACTCTTCTTATTAGAACCAGTGACAATCGTACAAACCATTTACTTTTCAGTATTTGACACAAAAACACATGACTTACCAAGGCTATGCTACCTTAAAAACATTGATGACGTTGTGTATTTATTGTATAAAGTCACTCATGTTATACTGTCAATTTCTTTGCCTAGTAAGCACACCATTACAGGACAAATCAGCCATACCTTAGTTTGAGAGCAACTGTACTTTAATAAAGCTGCTCTCTTGCCCTTGTAGATAAAACAATCTGCAAGTTTACACTTGCCTATTAAATGTGCTATAAAACTCTACCATAAGGCAACCCTCCTGATCAATGCTGTAGATTCATATTGATCAGTTGCGGAATATTTTTGTTATTTTGCTAAGACCACAGGTTAAGGCTGATAGCAACACATACACGGTAACCTGATATGATGCACATCAAAACACCCATGTCTATTGTTTCTATGTAATAACACACAGCAGGGGTCTTGACACAGGTTGATGTGTCAGGATACTGTCCTTCTTCCCAGCATCCTCTCTCACGAAGGCTCAAAAGAAACAGCAGTTTGCTCCCTGTATCGCCATGTCCTGGCCTTACTACTACTTCTATATATACAGGTGACTAAAGACACAAAGCTACAAGACTGTGTACTGCATTTTACACAGAGTACCTATTTCCCTCTAGTTACATGGTACAAACAACATAAAAAAGCAACATAAAGTATGTCAGTAAGGTGTTGGATCAGTATGTGCCACCACAACAGTTTCAGTGCTTCTTGTCATTGACTCTCCAAGTCTCTGAATTGTACTGGAAGATGAACACCATTCTTCCTAAAGATAGTCCTTCATGTGGTGTTTTGATGATGGTGGTGGAGAGTGCTGTCTAACAACTCAGTCCATAGGTGTTCAGCTGGGTTGAGATCTGGTGACTGTGAAGGCCACGGCATGAGTCACATCATCTTCATACTCAGGATGACAGTACCCCCATCCACAGCGCACAAGTGGTCACTGATGGTTTCTTTCTCCACAAAATTGTTAGGTTTTTCCTTTACTTAGTCACCCGTCTGTAGTATAATTTTTCTTTAATGAATGAAGTGTACCATAAGCTACAGTTTATTTTAGTTTCTTTTTTGTGCTATTTGGTACAAAAACATTTAAAAGTGTGTGGCTGCATGGTATCTGAGGCTTCTGTAAGGAGAGGGAACTGTAATCTGCGTCTTCCTTGATCTATTGTTCAACGTATATTTGTTGAGGGTCAAGTGAGTAGGAAACATTTTTTGATTCTGAGAAACTCCAAAGCTAAACAATTAATGGATCAGTCAGGCACAGTAAATTATGAGCATAAATGCCAAACATTCTCTGGTAGACATTTGGGTTTTGGACAAAACAAGACATTTTGAGGACGTCACACTGGGCTTTAAGACAGTGTGATGTATATTTTTCACTACTTTTTGACTTTTGAGATTATATATATATATATTATGGTGGATTTCTGAGAAAGACGTGCAACACATCGATCAATCTGGGTGTACCTACCTCTGAATAGACCACCTACAGCAGGGGGCTCAGATTGGAAGAGGGTGGTGTAAGGGTTTGGCCCACAAAAGGAGTCTGACAAACAGCAACAACAGCAGACATGCAAAGAACCAGAGAGAGAGGGAAGAGGAAGGAAGATGGGAGAATATTATGTAGATATGACACTAGAAAAAAAAAAGCAATGAAAGAGCAGCAAGGAAGCCAAGGAACTGTGGAAACAGCTATTTAGAGAGGAAAAACAAAGATCAGGATTTGCAGGACAAAAGCAGAGGAAGCCGCCACTCATCACATGGCTAGACTAAATACAGGGAGAAATTAAGGGCAGCTCACACTGGTGGCTAACCACAATACAATGCAGGCTCATAGCCTCAGACTTGTAGGAAGCAGGGAGGGAGGAGGAATGCTCTGATTTCATTAAAAGACACTATGTCAATTCAGCTCTACTCGTGACAATTCACATATTTTACACAATATATCTTGCAGGTCAGCAATCTAGTAGCCAGATGGTCATCCACCATAGTACCTTTGATAAATGTCTCTATCTGTGCAGCAGTATCAAGATCAGATACCAGGGAAGAGCTTGAGTCAATACAGGGAGTGTAATGATCTGGAGAAAAATAATTCTGCTGATAAAGATAGACAATTATGCAACAAAGAGTTTTGGCCTTTGAAATACAAACTGAAGAATGATAAAGAGATGAGAATTGGAATTGCAAGAAACATTGGGAACTCAGCCTAATTGTGGAAGGAAACAAATGTTTGGAGTAGGGCAGCATGCCAGATCTTTGATGAATGTGAGAAAAGTGTCAAGAAACTGTATGTTCTGACCAGTGACCCTAAACCACCTCAGGCATTTTCTCCATTTCTTTCCCTACTGCCCTGAAATATACTCGTCTACATAGTCACTCCATAGCAATTTTAAATCACACAGTGAAATCACCAACAATAAATCATCAACCAGGACACAGCGCACATTATGCTGTGTAAACACAAAATTAAATCTGCACTGTAAAAAAAGAGAAAAGAGAAAGAAGACACAGCCAAACGATCCCACCGAATACTTCATAGCTAGGTGTCCTACAGGACACACTACCAGCGCGTAAAGGATGCCGTGGACAGGCAGACAACATCGACAACAGATAGTGTGATGAAAGGGTTTGAGTTTGGAATGGAGTTAAAGGAGAGGTTAAAAAAAGTGCATGCAAGATGACATGCAGGGGAAAAATGCCAGTGATGCCGTGATATGATGATATCATGCACTCTGATGCACTGCTCTTATTTGCCCAAATTTCAGGTCTGGTGAACAGCTTTTTCAATAGTTTAGTCCACAGGTTACAGGTTTAGTCCACAGGTTAAAGGTTTTCATTATCAGAACGGTCAGGGTTCAGCCCAGGGGCTGATATCTAACAACGATAAAAGCTGCATGTGGTGATTGTGTTAAGAATGTGTGTCAATCTGAGGAAGTTTGCATAATAAAAGTGGTATGGTAATAAAGATGTAACTATGTAGCAGTCCATAGTCCATTTAATAACAAGCTTTTATACTTATTACCTTTGTCTACATTCAAAATGTTGGTGTTTGTCAGGCCTGAATCTATGCACATCAAGTGTGCAATAACTCCTATTTTGGATAAAATGAAAGAGCACTATGTGGCCTAATCTCTTAAGTGACAAACACTGTTGTTATGTATGTCAACTACATTATTTACAAACCCTCTGATATGAAACTGAAGTGAAAAGTACACAACACTATAAAGATATGTGAGATAAGGCTCCTACTGAAACTCAGCACGATGTAAGGGCTGCCCCGACCAAGGATTTTTTAAATCGTCTTAAGAGTTTGCACTTAAAATAAATGATGCATTAACTCTGGGTGGGTTGGGGCATCTTCTGTATATTAATTGGTCAGGTGCCTGTGGTTAATTGATTCACACTTTATCTTACAATAGCAGCCGCCCCACACCATACTCCATATTCCTACACCATGACTCACGTTTGAATGTCTTTTTTCATCATGTGGGATGTGTAAACACCAGTAAAAGTTAGTGTCTTGATCATAGCTGTTATAAAAAGCTACAGCACCGTGGAGTGCTGACAGTGATGTCAGCTGGGCACCGGAGCTGAGAGTGCTGCATCGGGTAAAAGCAACAAGTCGCGCTGCCATCCGTTTCCATCACTGTCTCTACTTCTATCACAGTGAGTTTGGTGGTTCAGTCATTTTAAGACATGACTCAGGTTGTGGAGTTTACAGCCTGTCACACTGTTGCCCCTGCACTGCTCTGTGTACTGTGAGGCAACAAAAAAACAGTGCAGTGGATCAGCTAATATCTCAGGGTCTTCTCGACTAATGCATCAACTTTTTGAATTTTAGGAGAGAAAAAGAGATATTTTGAACTGTTTTGTCTGCAGTCTCCCGGTTATATTTTCACAATAACATTGTGTCCATTGTGCTGGTTACGATAATGGCGTATTGTTCGGAAAAGCTAAAATGAAAGCTGTCTGTATGTAAGTCTAACAAATTATATTAGTTTACCATGAATTTTAAAATGTGGTTGTAAACTGAGCATCTGGCTCAGAAAAGAACCAGTAATAGTATGAGCTGGATCAATAAGGATATGGATAAGATAAAAATCCTACCAATACCCATCCTTACATCTGGTTAGTGGCTGGCTTAGGGAGGATGAGCACATCACAATGCAAATCCCTCCACCAGTGTTATTTTGTGATTATATTTTATGATGCACAGTGAGATCAGTCATAAAAATGTGAAGGATTACTTCATTTGTAAGTGTTGTCTATTCATTAGTAGGGAGGGCTTTTTAATATGTTTTGTGCTTGCAGCTGCTAAAGACTCTCATAAAGCCATAAAGTCGTCTGCTGCTACCTTAGAATTTATACAGAATAAGTGTTTGAGAAAATGTTAAGGCCAGAATCTGGGTTTATCGACCGAGCAAGTGTGTCATTTAGATTTTCTGGAGAAAATTAATTGTTTACACTAATCTATCTACCATAGATTAATCTATCAGACTATGTGATAAAATAGTCGATAGATTAATCAATAGAAAAATAGTCATTAGTGGCAGCCCTAATGGCATATGCAGATCAGTTCCACATACAAATCAGGCATGAGTTGCATCCTGTTTTTAAAGGTACAGTGACGTGATAAACTAGCAAGCAACATTCTGCAGCCACTTACATGACCTTAAATTAAATGTGAAACTTTTTTTTTTTTTACCTTTAATAATTAAATAAAAATCTGACATGCAGATATAGGTATATTTTGTTTTAGCATATGCCAATGTTAGCAAACAGTTCAATACACTACACAAAATCAATTCACATATACATGATCTGAGAATATAAATCTGGTACATTATTTACATATTTAATTACTTATTGTGTCTGATGAATAATGATATAACAATGTTTACAGCCAGGGTTTGGGAAATATCTGTCCACCACAGAGCACAGATCACACCTGCTGGGATTAACATGAGTAAGCAGAATGAGTACATTTGTGGGCCCCTTGGTTGATGTTTTACAGAAAAAGTAAAACGCCACCTACAGTTAATATATGTATAATATATGACCAACACTTCACGAAAAAGACAATTAACAGAAGCATATTCCAGTACTGGGTTTTAAATAGTTACCTTTAAAAAATACTTATGTTCGGTATTGTATACATGTATGCGTGTTTGTAAATGTGGAAGCAGTGTGGACTGTTGCAAAAGCAGAGTGGAGCTCTGACCTCCCCATGTGTTGTTGGTGGACAGAGGTAGCGGCTGCTGGAAAGCTGGCTGCAGGTCCAGAAGGTCGTTGGCTCCCTTGGATGTGCTGGAGGGAACAAGCAGGAAAAATGAGGGTATAGACGATAAATCAGTCACTCATTAACAAAACATCAGGTTCTCACCTCAGTTGCTATTAGAAGAAACTAATACAACTGCAATTGTTCTCAGCATTTAATTTTTTTTTTTTTTTTTTTCTGATGTTAAAACTTCTGACAATGTTATGTTTACATGTTATGTTGCCCTTATTTGTAACATAGCAGGACAATATTTCCATTTTTATTGAATTTGCTTGTGCTACATCTAATGTCATCAGTGCTGCTGCAGCAATGTCCCAGTTTCTATGAAGGATCAAAGATTCATCTGATCGTAAACAACTAAGAACTACGAATAACTGGTAACAACCTTCTACTTGCATCGTACCATGATTTCAAAACCAATGTTAGTTTTGCATACTGTTACAGCGCTAATTTTGAACTAAATAATAAATGTTCATCTGCATCTACATGTACAAGCATTAATATCCCATTTAAGACATTTGGAGAAGCTCCGTCACTGGATGGTGATCGGGTGCAGGTGCTGTGGCCTCACCTGTTGGTGGAGCTGTGGGTGGAGAACAGGTCAATGGCAGGAGTTGAATTGATGGTTCCACCCACTGTGGAGATGGGAGAGGAATTTGTGGTTGCTGTAGAAGGATTCTTCTGGAGCTCTTTCAGACGCTGCTCCTACAATAATTAGGAGGCTAGTGTTACCAACACACTGTCTAACCCATATAAGCTACTCAGTAAGACAGTATTTAAATTAGCTGTTAACAGAAGAGTCCTACTACTCAAAAATCACAATTGCTGTGGCTATGCATTTGATTTGCATTTTCTTTTAGCTCCACTTCTGATGATCAACATTATGAAGAGCGTAACACAGCCTGCTACACAAATGAATTACAGAGAGGACAGGCAGAAAAACTCAAAACTTATGCCAAACATTAAAAACAGCGAAAACTATGACACAAAGTGAGCATTGCTGCAGATTTGGGAAAAAGCTTCCTCAACAGACTTCCCCAAAGCCAATGTCTCCTACCTTTTCAAACGCAGATCAAAAATTTCAACTAAGGACTATACACAGTATGCACTGCTGGACAGTGCTGCTCTGGCCTATTCAAATGAATGTAGGTGAATGAGGAAAATGTACTTTCAGTGCTTTTAGGCGAGCCTGCTCTTCCTCCAGGGCGGCTTGTTTTTCCCTCTCGTCCACTCTGGTAAAAGATATGCCGGTGTTGGCCAGGGAGGAGACAGCATTGGAGAGGGTGCTAGCCCTGAATCAAGGGACGGACAAGGAAAACATTGACTGACCAAGAATCATGTCAGAGCTCTCGAAAACACACTTTTGAACTTGACCCTTGAACTGGACATCTGTATACTTATTGCTTAATCTCACTGTAGTGTTCCTACCGAGTTCTGATTTGTGACACATACATTGACACTTAAAAAAAACAAGCACATTTTTATTATCTTCCATGCTGGAAAAAAAAAAACAGTCCATTACTATCAAGTTGCTGAAGCAAATATGGCCTCTGCTCTGAGCCTAGATGGCAGGGAGCCAATTCAAGTGAAGAGAGATGAGGCAGACCTACCTGCTGGCTGCTGTTGAGTCTTTGACTTTCTTTCCCTCTAAAGAGGCCAAGTGTTGTTCCAGGGCATCCAGCAGGCTGCTGGGGGCCTAGCATGAATGTCATTGACACACATTAAGTTTCAAAGGCTGAGGAAAGCCTAATTCAAGATGTCTTCTGAAAAAATAAGAAAAAAACACTGAAGCATGCCAAGTTATTGCCAAGAGTCCACAAACAGAGCTACTCTCAAATACAGAGACAGAGAGAGAAAAGGTTTAGATACTTACACAAACTGTGAACTGAAAATGGAGAGATAGAAGGAAGGGAAAATACAGAAAATAAAGGTGGTAACAGTCAAGATATTATAAAGGAAAACTTTTGGGAGAAAGCTACCTGATTCTAGTTCATCTGCTACAAAATACATAATGAACAACTAAGTTGCTAAATAATATTTTCTACATAATGCAGATTTCAATTATCTATACAAGATGGGTCAATCATATCCCACACTAAAACCCTTGATTCACACCTTTATTTGCTGTATGACGTGCACAGTCAGAAGTTAGTGTGATGTTTGTGCAATCATGGGCTCATGCATTGCCTGCCTGCTGAGCAAAGCACTTGGTGTTAAAACTAGTCCGGCCTGAAGCTGCAGGGGTTTAGCAGCATGAGAAAGGATAATAACCACATTTTGAAAGGTCTTATTAAGGAGATCACTAAGCCAGTTAGAGCACAAATAATAACCCCAGCATATTCAGTGAAAGCCTGTAACTAGGCCTCGAGATATTACAGTGCATGGTTAGTGTACTGCAGTTTTAATGCTACTTGATAAACTAAAACATAAATACGACCGCACATTTCACGACCACTGCAGATAATTGCTCACAATATGAATAAGCTATAAAGTGATCTAGACATCTGAGTACATCATCAATATTGATCAACAACCTTATTTAAGTCCTAAAGACGTGTGTTATAAACAGAAAAAGAGCTGTTGAATTCCTCAAACTTTAAAAGTGAGTGGTGATACGTGATGCTCTAAACACAGAATATTTTGAAAATAGCTGTATTTTTTTTTTTTCTACAAGTGCAGCACGAACTTGAATCACTGCCTTATTGTTGTATCCTTCCGCCAACCAGTCCAGTTGCAGATAGGGCTGAAACGATTCTTTGAGATACTCGATTAATAAAATTAATCGAGGCAAATTCTTTGCATTGAAGCTTCGTTTAATCCATATGAGGGCCCAGTCGTCAAGTCTGCACGAATGATTATTACTGTTGCACAACAGTCTTCCACCAGTTGCTTATGCCAAAGTCATTTACTTACGCTGTTGATACGTGAGTGAAGGTAGACGCGGTTTGATGGAGCAGTTAGGAAAATGGACAAAGAGATCGAAACTAGTGAGATGCGAGGCAAAGAGACAGGCCAGAGAAAACGACAGAAACTGTCTAAAGTTTGGGATCATTACAAGCTCAAAAAACCCGACAACTCCGTACAGTGTGTCCATTGTAAAATGGAGCTACCTACCACAATAGCACGACGTCACCTCACTAGAAAGCATCCAGTCTATGCATCCACGTCACAGAGCGGACCTGACATAAGGTGCAGTTAACGACATTTGGTAGTATGGGCTAGTTAATGCTAGTAACGAATGCATGTTGGTTTTACGTAATGGCTAATTAAGAACCTGTGGTGGCTAGTTATGATGTACCTCTGTTAGCTAAGTTTTGCTCAAGAACATGCCCTTCTCTCTTACTCACTCACTCTCATACACACACGCACGCACCTCATAATGACACCCTACTAAACAAAATATAAGCAAAACAAAATAATATTTGACTGCAGTTTGTAGCGTCAGCAGGTGTAGGGCAATCCTTCAGCATATTTAATAAAAGTACATTAGCCAGTCTTATGAATTTACAGTATGATATTTAAAGCCTAGTAATAAATTTCAATATTATTTCTCCAATTTTTCAGTAAATCACAGCATTGTATGGACAGTTTTGTACGGACGGCAGCACCATGTTCAGTTGAGCAAGCAGCTGAGTTCACAGACAGCATTTTGAACATGATTGTAACAGACATGCGCCCAGTGTCCATGGTGGAGGATGAAGGATTTAAGAAGATGATTTCCACTTTCAGTCCCAGGTACACACTTCCTTCAAGAACCTACTTCACAAAAATGATGGAAAAAAGGTATGAGGAAATCAAAGGCAAGCTGAAGAACATTCTTAAGGAGACTGACAGCATTGCATTCCCAAGTGACATTTGGATGAGTGCTGCTACTGAGGCGTATCTTGGGGTGACGTGTCACTTTCTTGGGGAGGATTGGGAGATGGAGTCCCACGGCTTGACAACGATGCCCCTTGAGGAGGGACACATGGCTCAAAATATTGCAGAGTGGCTTGAGGATGTTATAGCCACATTCGACATTCCACAAGAAAAAAATCAAAGCTGTTGTTCATGACAACGGTGCCAATGTGACAGCAGCCGTGAAAATTTTGGCAGAAAAGCATGAAAGGGCATCAGTGCGATGTGCAGGTCACACCAGGAACTTGGTTGTGCAAAGCGCTCTGAAGAATCACCAAGCTATTTCCAAGTGTGTGGCTGCTGCAAGATGTCTAGTTGAGCACTTTAAGAAGAGGCTAAGCAGCAGCAAATGGGCACGCCGCATCGAATACTGGTTCAAGACGTGAGTACTTCCTGGTGAGACTGCACCAGTAAGGTGTGGCAGAGCAGATCACAGCAAGATGGCAAGGTTTATCAGTGTTTCAACCTGAATCTCCAAACACAGTCCTAATAGCTGCTGCTTTGGATCCTAGGTTTAGAAAATGTAAGTTCTTGCCTGCTGATGAACATTCAAGGTCCAAACCACAGTACAAGCCATGGCAGCACAAGACAACCCAGTCACACATGTCAAGGGTATAACATCATTTCTCAACAACATACTGGGATCAGACTCCAGCCCTAGTGATGAAGAAGATGAGGAGCAGCAGTTAAACCAAACTGTGCAGCAGGAGGTCATGATGTATTTTGGAGAACATCCCCTGTCCAAGAAAGATAATCCACTTTCATGGTGGAAAACAAATGCAGCACATTATCTAACACTGGCAAAGCTGGCAAAGTCCCTGCTCTGTATTCCAGCAACATCCACACAATCAGAGCATCTTTTTTCTGCAGCAGGAAACATTGCATCAAAGCGCAGGGCCCTCAGTTCTGAGCATGTTAATATGCTCACTTTTCTTCACTGCAACCACCACATGCTTGAGTGTAAAGGCTTGCTTACACACACACACACACACACACACACACACACACACACACACACTATCTGCCTCATCCAGGAGAAATTATCCTTCCAGAACATTTTTTGGCCTCTTAGAAATGCCAGAAAGTGTTCCAAGAAGACAGCTAAGGTTTACATTATGTCTGAGCTGTAGTTAGGTTAAGCTTACCGAGTTAACTTACCAAAGCAATGCAATATTATTAGGGCTCGAGCACTGAATGTGCCAGGGCCCAGTGGGCCATGGCACCGGAGGTGCAAGGAACCTAGTGTTTTTGCAAAGATTATTAGGGCCCAAGCACCAAAGAGTGCGAACTCACGAAACTTGGCAGGCAAGTTTGTATTCGTGAAAAGTCTTTTTGACAACAGAATTGGACATGGGCGTGGCATGTCAGCTCTATAGCGCCCCCTATTGACTTTGGGGATTTTTGAGGGTCTAGGGGTGCACTCCTACCCCCACGATATTTGGTCCATGCATCCGACGTCCCCTAACTCGGTTAAAGCAAGTGGAGTCGTTCATGGGCATGGCAAAATGACTCAACGGCGCCCCCTTGAAAATTTCAACGAAGAGGCCACAGCAGCACATTTGACCTAGATGTATGAAAACTGGTAGGCATGTTAACGTCCTGGAGCACTACAAAAAAAACCTCTTGGACCCATATGCTAAACCCAACCAGAAGTCTGCCATTTTTAATTTAGTGTGCAAGTTTTGCTTATTTTGTCATCATTTTCAGACTTCGTATTTTAATGAACTCCTCCTAGAGTTTTAATCTGATCGACTCCTAATTGGGTTCACATCATCGTAAGACATTTGTGATGTCAAATTGCGAAGCTTTTTCAGGGTTGTTGTACGCCGTGTCCGTGGCAGCGTGGCAAATTTCGATGGTTCGCCAACAGAAGAATGTCATGTTTCACGGTAGCCCCCGCAGCAGGATTCACCTAGATGTATGAAAATTGGTAGGCATGTGTATCGCATGGAGATCTACAAAAAAGTCTCTTGGACCCATAAGCTAAATTCAATAGTAAGTCCGCCATTTTGAATATAGTACACTTTTGGTTAATTTTGTCACCATTTTCAGCTGTCGTACTTTAACGAACTCCTCCTAGGGAATTCATCCGATCGACATGATGATCAGTGGCTCTCATCTTAAGGCCTTTGTGAAGTTAAATTACAAAGGTTTTGAGTTTTCACTGTAGGACCCGCCCGCTACGGCGTGGTGAATTTCTATCGATTCAACTCGTTATAACTCTAGTTTGCATGGTCCAAACTGTCCCATGGCTTATACATATGATAAGACTCCTGAACAGACCTGTATATCCATATTTAGTAATACTCATAGAGCCACTTCATGGTAACGTGATATTATGATTCACTTTTTCATTTATTATTCCTAGTGAATTGACTTGGCGCTCAAAAAAAGGGTCAGAAAATAATTTGTTGAAGATGCTGATGCTTCATGGATATCAATATTGAGTTTTCACTGAAGGGTGTGGCTCTGGTGGTGATTTAAATATGAAACAGGAAGTGGCTTTATGTCTGTGACATATTGTCCAATTCAAAGATCATTGTTGGTTTATTCTGATCTTCAGACCAGTGCAATTCCACAGTAAAGACCTTTTCAGTTTTCGTTAAAGGCCCGCCCGTGGCGGTGAGCAAATTTGCTGCGATGTGCGACCGCTTCAAATGGCGGGAATGTAATATGGCACTTCAATGCACTAAATGGGTTTAGTTTTGACAGATTATATTGTATGCAATGTAAGCAACAAAAATTTATATTTTTCTTAAAAAGGAAACAAATTAGTTGTCCAATTGAAGAGACCTGTCTTCTTTTCTCTTTTTTATATTGCTCTTTAATAAGACAAAAGTAGTTCTTATCCGATTACTCGATTAATCGATAAAATAATCGGTAGATTACTCAATTACTAAAATAATAATATAATAGCCGCAGCCCTAGTTGCAGTTTACATGCACCCAAGATCAGTGTCCCCACTTCAGTATTTGATCAAATGTGAAATATGATCACAACCTCCCCTTCTGTTCCTGAGTTATCATTGAATAATGGCCAGACGTGTTTTCGAGAACATTGCGATGTCACAGTGAAGTTGACCTTTGGGATACAAATGTCATCACTTAATTGATTTATCCTATTGGACATTTCAAGAATATCAAAGCCCCATGGGAACCCTGTTATTAGTGTATGAATTATTGAGTTATGACCAAAAACATATTCTATATAGTCATAGTGACCTTGACCTTTGAACTCTGACCACCAAATTCTAATCAATCAATTCTGAGTTCACAGGAATGTAACCTGCATGGCTTGATAAATGGGGTAAATAACAAACCGTTTTCTTGTGGTTTGGTGAACTGACACACCTGCACCAATGGTAATAACTACAGTATTTCAAAGGCAGACAAAGCAGCAGGTATTACTGCACATTTATAGTAATCTTAATTTTAGCCATTATTCGATAATGATTTGCTACCTGAAAGCGCATGTGTGTGGTCTTTCATGGCAAATAAATGCATGCTACAATATACATTCTAGAAATATATACAACATTATATAAATAATGTTGTATATAATATCAATTCCCCAAAATTTGGCCATTCTCTGGTTTTTAGTTGAGGAAAGCCAGCAAAGAGGTAATGGGTGTCAAGTTAATGCACAGTATGTTATTTAAAGTAATATCTTTAGATTTTGCATTTCGGCTTACCTGAGACAGATCTGGGATGTCCCCTCGGTCGATCCCCACTTGCTGCAGGAAGAGAACAAGGACCATTAGAATTTGGATTAGGGCTGCTCAATTAATCAAAATATTATCAAAATATGCGATATGGCCAAGTGCAATATCCAAATCACAGGAGCTGCAAAAAAATTGCAGGAGCTGCAGGAGCTGCAATTTTTTTGATAAAGGTAAAATGTTTCACAACATTGTTCTGCAGTGTTAGCACCATAAGCATTGTGGTGCAACAGAGATGCTTTTTCAGTAAAAATGTTATTGTGACTCATATTACAATATCTGCCAAAATAATCACAATAGGATTTTTTTTGCATATCGGCAGGCCTAATTTGGATGAGAAAAAAAAAACATAGGCAACCCCCCTCAATGATACCAGGCTCCTTTGCAATCCCCAACTGGCTACTCTGGGGTCCTGACTTACCTCTGCAACTTTGAGGAACTCTGAGATTCGTGTCATTCGTGTCAGGAATTTCTTGTAGATGTCAAGTCCATCTTTGCACTGGACTTTCTTCATGTCAAAGTATTTCTCTGGTAAAATAAGTGAGTGAGCACAACAAAATGATTAAGACACTATCATTTTCTTTTACTTCAACATTTTAAAGTTTATATTTTCAAAACACAATATACTTTTATGGCCGACTATATTTTCACAGGGTATATGGATCAAATTGTCAGTCTCAGCAGACAGACAGAGACCGACTTGAAGCCCTCTTTGAAATTTTATGAATACTGAACTACAATTTCGATTCAAACTACAAAGTGATCTTAGCCATCTTTCCTGTTTCACAGTATGAAAACAAGACCTACTGATAATATTCTTTTGTCTATAAGAAGGTGAAACCTAGGTGGGTAGCCTTGTCCTGTAAAAGCCGAGGAATGAGTGCTCATCATGCAAAAAAAAAAAAAAAAAAAAAAAAAAGAGAACGCAAACCTTGCTACAAATTCATTTTAAGCCACATCCTTAACACATCCTTGCTTTCAAGCCTGAGTGCAAAGTATTAAATAATAGAAAGAATATCTGGAGTCAGTCATTCAGTCTTTCACCACTTGGACTGGACCTTGTCAGTCTCTCTACCTGCCCTTTTTGTGTGTCTGTCATTGAGAGCCCCACCCCATAGCGCATACGTCCAGCCACCAGGCCGAACAACTTCTCTTTATTAGATTCTGCTGTCACCTTCAATTATAATGGACAGGACAGTACAGAAACCCTTAACGACCAAACAGTAAATCTGGCTATGACAACACAAAAGCTTGTTGTTACCCAGGAGGTTGATTATGCCCTCATTGTAGGCTGCAAACAGTCGGATTGCATCTTTGAACAGAAGCATGAAGGCTGCGTTGATCACACCATTTGTCAATTCATTTGCATTGACCTGGAAGAGAGGTGCAGCTGTTGAGTTTTAAATTCATCATTTTGAAAACCCACTGGGTCACAAGAATGAAAACATATATGATATATGGAACAAGCATCAGCAATAGATTTAGATGTCAAACAGCGCGGCCAATACTGAGCACTCACATTGAAATCAAGTAACACATCCATCTGATTTTGGATGATAGGTATGGTCTTGAGGAGTTTCTCTGTGTTCATGGTTCTCATCAATCCATCAGATCTGTGGAAAGAAAAAAAAAAAAGAGAATGCTTTAACAAATCTAATGTAACACTCTCCTGAGATATCTGCTGACACTAGTCTTGACTGTCATTTGGCTTTTGTATTGTTAATGGACATTGCTGATTCTTATTATGTCAAAGTCATTAAATCAACACAAAACATATGTATAAAATAGAATGAAAGTTCTTTACCCTCTTTTCACTTTAGTGAAGTCAAAAGCGACTTGTCTGTAAGACACAGCCTTCTCATTCAGGTAGCGGCTATACCTCCTTATGAATGTTGACATATCATAGCCTACATTACAAACAAAAGAAGTAAGGGGGTCATGATGAGTGTCATGACACAGGTGAGTATTGTCTGAGTATTCAAATGCTTATTACTACACAGTGTGTACAGCATTGGTAATATACCTTGTAGCCCACTTTTGTCCAAAAAATTGCTGAGGTTGAATAGTGTGTTCCTGGAAGCCAGATATTGTATAAATCTCTGCAAAAAAAAAAAAACCCAACAAAACAAAAAAAAAACCAAAGTATGAGGAACTCTGTGTGCTTGCACAAGTGGTGTTTCCAATAAGGGAACCAGCTAACTGTTGTGCAATAAACAACTCTATTTGTAGGCATGCAACATCTAGTGCACTACTGCGAGATGATACCAAGCTACAACGCAACATATTGTATATGTCAGTGTACAGTTTATTAGATATCAGGTTATTTAACAAAAAATCTCAGCTGAGCAAAGGTGGAGAACAGTTGTAACCCAAGTCCTGACCTCATTGCCATAGACCATCAGATGGTGTGTGGTGGTGAGGGACTTGAAGACAACCACCCAGCTGGTGTTGGTGGTCCTTTCAAACAATGTGTCAGCCAGCTGAGGGATGTTCACATTCATCTCATTTGTGCACTGGATCAGGTCTAAGGGAGGAGAAAGAGAGAGAAGGAAGGAAGGAAGGAAGGAGGGAGGGGGTGTGGATTAATGAGCAAACATCACCTCAGAGGAAGCACACAAGTTTGTTGTTCAGTGAAAGCAGAGATTTTCATCATGATGCTTGCCCATTTTCTTTCATCCGTTCCTTTTCATAACACCGAGGTGACTAAAATCGATAAAATACAGGAGGGCAGTGGAATGGCTGGTGAGTCAGAGTTCAGGTAAACAGAGACTGTAAGGACAAACAGCTCTAGAAAGCTAGGGTACAGAAATGTGTCAAATCTGGAGGAGGTGGACATTTTCATCATCATGACCCCTGATCAGATGCTTGTTACTTAAGAAAAAATAAATGCCTCAAATTCAACAATTCAAAAATCTAGATGAATCTAGAAAAATTCCACTCAACTTTTATGATTTTCATCATGGATCCTGTGGTTTTAGTTTGCGCAGTGTATGAATATAAATGCTGTTCAACCTTCCTCTGTCTTCCCTATATCAAAATATATATCTGCTTGATTTGCAACCTGCTTACAAACTGTACTTCCTCATTCTTTGTAGGCCTGCCTCCAAAGATGGTCATAGGACATGTCCAAACTGAGGAACCAAAACAGTACCTCTGCCACATTGTTCTCCCAGTAGCAAGAGGGAAAAAGTGACACTAAAATATCAGTGTATTTGAAAGAAAAACAGTTTCTTGATAAAATGCTATTTGGCACTACTCTAACAAAGCTGAATACAGAGTGGTGGAATCAGACACAACAATACATCAAAGGGAAAGCTGCTGCCAGACTATAGTTGAAAGGCCCTGTGGTCGGAGCAGCATTGTTATCTGCATCCACCAGTGCTTGGTGTTGACTAGTGTGATGTCTGTGTGGCTCATGCACATCCATGCAGACACAATGAAATGACCATATGCAAAAAACTTCAATGTGCTCACTTTCTCTCGTATCTATTTTTTTTTTTTTTTTGGATGAAGTCGCTGATTCAACTGAGAATGAAAGAGCATAGCATAAAGTTTTGACTCCGTATGGACGGGAAAGCTGATACTAAAATTAAAAAACCATGTATTTGGAAGAAAAAGGCTGGACCGCTGCTGTTAAGAGCTGTTTTCACTAGGTCATGGACATGAGGAAGTTGATTAACAACAGAACACAACAATGATTCATTCCCACATTTTCTGTATAAATACAAGCAGAATACTTTGAAGGTATATTGAAAATAGACCATAGTACTGTAATGTTACTATAACAAACGAGATTGCACAGGAACTAAAAATGTGTACTTGAACAAATAAATATGGGAAAGGTAAAAGCCCGCTAAAAAACCCTACAGCTCTTTCTTAAAAATAAAGACAATGTGAACTATGTGAAATTGACTGTGAACTACTCCAGAATGGAGTAGGAAGGGGGGTGCTGACTGCTATATTCATATGGGAAACGAAAACAAAAGAAGAGACACCTTTTGCAATGAAGCTAAATTCATGTGATGAAACTGAAAAATCCTGAGAAGTCTGACAGTCACTGAAACAGAATCTGATTTTTGGAGTCCCACATATTAATGTAATCAGATATTATTAAAATTTTGAGATGGCGGCAAAGGAAAGTCTTCATTTTGTGCTCTTATAGAAAATCATGTGACAGACTAACTGTTGAAAATGATCCAAGTTATTAATATTCATACCCATCAGAAGCCAAAAAGAGATTGGCAGACAATGTAAGTAAATATTTAAGTGAATTTCATACTTGAATTGAGATGAACAATCCTCTCCAGGCTCAGATCAGGGCTCACACAGACATATTCAATTATATATCCCCATTGCATCTTATATATGGGTTTTATTGACTGCATAGATTAAAATTGAACTGAAAACAAAGCTACTGAAATCTTGATTAAGTTAATTGTTAACATTAACTGTTGAAGGTGATGGTGATACCCATTGAGGCCTGTTTACATGGGTGGTCTACGAATCCTCCTCCATGTTCGCAGAAAGCCACACAAAAGGCTTTTTGCTTTTTACATACACAATAGGCCACCCATGTGACAACAAAAGTCTTTTCAGATCCCACTGAAATGGCTCATAACAACCACAGCTCTTGATCATCCAATCAATCATCCAAATGTCAGGGCCTTTATAGCATATAAGCTGAGGCTGACAAATTATAGCTTAAAGTGATCAAAGTGGAGCCCGTCATGACAATGTAGTGCTGGGCCTGACAAGCTGTGTGTATGGAGGACAAACCCTTCTGATGAGATAAACGTGAACTTTATTTTGGTGCTGCTCAGTCTGGGATTACATAAAATGACATAAGAAACTGAGACAGCCCAAATCCACAGAGGAACTGAGGCAATTGGCAAAGGCTGCAGTCACTTAGATCAGGGCTCACATCTTTCTTAAAGTACACAAAAATATGATCTAAGAAATGATTCATGGTGTTAGTGAGTACAACTTAAAATCAATAGCTTTTACAACAAGTTACTACAACAGTACTACAAGTTTGTTAGATGTACTTGTTTAGACAGACAGACAGACAGACAGACAGACAGACACTTTATTTATCCCCCTAGGGGGAATTCATGTGTCCATTAGCTCATTCTTGATAATAATAATAATTTTCTACATTTACTAATAATACCTTGCTATTTGTCCTATTTTTATACAGATAAACAATGGATAGGGAATGATTACCACTGTTAACCTGGAGAAAGCCTTCACGGCAAAACTGGACCAATACACCCTGAAAATAATGTCCTTGTTGTCGTCAAGAGAAGGGCTGCAATAATGATGATTTGATGCAAAGGAACATGCTGCTAGAGGTATGAATAAGTGTAACATTATTCATTTAAGATAAAATCAACCTTATTCCCTATTTGAAAGAAAGTGGATTTTTTTCAATTATCAATTTATTATTTGATTATTATAAAACACAGTAGAGATCTGTTATTGTACCGTTAGGGTTTGTTATTATCAGTCCAGGCCTCATAAACCTCTTCCTTCAGCCTTTTTTCCAGTGATGTAATTATTAAAAACTCATGCTAATGGGGAAGAAGTGTAACTTGTTTTTTTTTTTTCTTAATAAGTCTGGAGAAAGGAGGAGAGAGATTGCTATCTCTAGCTTAATGGTGCATCTCAGAGAAAGGGCGAAGGACCTCTTCAGAGAGCAGTTGGTAAGTTAATCAGACACTTAAGTTCAGACACACTGTACATTTTGTTACTCTTGTTTTTAAATATGATGACTTAAAACACAGAGTGATTCTGACCCATTTATGACTGTAACAAGAAACACACAATCTGTGGGCTGGAATGGCCTCCATACATTGTAGCTGGCCAGCTCACTTTAGCTGAGCAGACCTCAGCAGTACCACAACAGTGTATGGTGTTTACATTTTATTTTTCTTTTGGCCAAAAATCAGTTGGGTGAAATTTTATCTGCTGAAGTTTAACTGAAATTGTCATTCTTAGTCTTGACTAAAACTAGATGTTCACAACATTTTGTCAACTAGTCTTCTGATGACTAAAGAAAGACTAAAATGTTTATAGTTTTCTGTAACAAAAACAACACTAAAATATCCAGAGTTGTAGTCAACTAAAAATTGTCTTGAAAAAGGCTAAATATGACTAAAACTAATACAGACTTATTCTCTCAGGACTAAGACTTAATCTAAAAATAGCTGACAAAAATGAACACTAGAATGATACTAGAATGAAAAGCAGGAAATAACTCATGATTTGCAACCTGACAATAAAACCCTGAACAGAGGGGATGGCAGCACATTTAATGCAGCACCTTTTGGACAGGTTGCATGGTTGATGGTAGGTTGCAACATGCTGCAACATCTCAGGGATGTGGAAGTGGGATCCCTCCTCTGATGCTTTTCCTGAGGTTACTTCAATTTTTCATCAGAAACAAGGGTTTAAATTTAGAGGGTGCAGTATGCTATAGAGAGCGTGAAGCCCCTTGAAGAAAATTGTGACATGTGATATTCAATTATATAAATAAAATTGACTTGACTTAGGGTGGGCTGAACTGATTTTTGGCTGCAATGTCAACAAACATTATGAAAGGTCTAAAAATGTGACATACAAGTCAAAGTAAAATGAAGCAGCAGGTAGAAATCTGACAAAAGCTTAGTTATAAGATGCAGGGTCTGTTTCCATGGAGGATTCTCAAAAGAGGTAGCATGACAGGGTGGAGAATTGAAGTAGCTGAGCAAGGATGGCTGCATTATCATATGGATCTTACTGATAGACTTCTGAGAACATAAGACAGGAAGTGATGAGTAAACTCCTTTGCAAAGAGGAAGTAGTAGGTAAGTGCTTCTGTGCAATGGATTCACAGCAATCACTGAGAATCAGCTGACACTGGGAACTGATTTTTTGTTTTGGCCGTACGTTCATTCTGCATAAGACATACTGAAAGGGATTACACTTGGGTCTTAAGGTAAAGGACCTAAGAGTAATAAAAAAAATGTATTGGATGGGATTGTGAAATGACTGAATAAATGAAAATAAGTAACTATTTTGTAGCTTCTAGAGCTAAGAAATAGCTGCATCTTTTATTTGTCTAAGGCAAAGTATATAGATATACTGTAGTAAACATGTATTAACTAGTATATCCAATGACAAAGCAAAACAAATGTTTTACCTTCATTTAAAATTAAATAAATGTATACATTTATATGTGAATTAGCAACTTCCAATTTATAGTTAGACTGAATATGTTGTGTTGCATCTCTAATAAGCCTCTTTAAACAGAGCCCACAAGGCATCAAATAAAGTTGGTTCAACAAGATTTCTAGATATCAGTGGCAAAGCTTGTCTTGTTCATGTTTGCAGATGCAAAGAACAAAAACCACTGGAGAGAAAGGACTATACAAGGACCCATTGACATTTAACTAGTGATCTGTGGTACAAACTGCTGCTGTATGACATAGCAGTCAGCACTTTAAAGCTTTTACTCCAGAGCTTTGCTAAATCTGTGTACTGCCC